TTCCAGGAAATGAACAGATCTAAAATCTGTGATCTGGCTCTGCAACTCTTATTTCATCCAGAATTTTGTTCTCTAAATTTTCTCCCCTCCTGAAGGGATATGATTCCCTTTTCCTTCTGTAGTCCCGCTGGGTACAGTTCTACTGGTTCCGGTTAACTTCCAGTACCTTGCCCATTACATGGCCATTATAAATGTGTGAGTTTTGGCAGGCTATTCAACTGGAATCACAATCGAGCCTGGTTCTCACTTTACATTCGTTCGGATGTACCTTCAAGTAGGATGGTAATCTAAATAATAATCAGGAACAGGAACCTTGACTCACTCTACCTCCCCCTCCCCTCCCCCCACACCTTTCTTAATCTAGCATTGCTGATACAAATTGCTTCCAACAACTACTCTCATATCAACTGACACAATTTGAGGATGTGATAAGGCACTATATCAATTGCAAGGGTTATTATTATTATTATTCAGGCTGACACAAGTTGAGCACTACAGACAGATAGCCTTGACTATATTTATTGAACCCCATAAACCAAAAACCTTTCAAATCAATTAAAGTAGCTCTTGCAGGAAGAAAGTGCAGAGAATTTGGTATTTCCATACACCACAATAGTTTTTAAAAATTGAGACGTTTAGATAACAAACACCACCAAGGTAGACAATTACAGGGGTAAGAAGATTAAATAAATCAAGAAGTAGTGGTGAAGTAATACCTAGTTCGCTGAGGGTTTAAACAAAACATAACTGAAGTGTGTGCATGTGTAACAGTGAAATGCAGCTGTAAGTCATTTACTAGGATATGGAATAAATATAGAGTCCCATTAGACCTTTATGGTCTCTGGGATTTGGGCAGTGGGGAGAGAAAGACTTGCCAGAAGCAGCATCAAAAAATACAAAAGTTCCAGATACTGTACTGATCATTAGAAAATAATGAAGTTGGGAGAAGGAGTGGTTAGCAACTCCTGCTATTCTCCTGGGTCTAGATATACTCTGTTTATTTAGTATTTCAGAGCATTCAGAATTGGCAAATTCTTAGATACATCCTAAATTTTGAAGCCCCTTTTCTGTAAGTTTTTTTAAGAATTACAGGAAAACCACTTCAAAGTAAAAATGAATTCAGCAATTTGCACACTCTAAAATGGTACATAAAGAGAATAAATCTAGACCCAGGAGGAATTTCCCCCCCCCACCGTTTTCAGTAATGTACTTACTTCAACCAAGATGAACTGAGATGACAAAGTGCCACAGCCTATTTTTTATTTCATCGTTAACTTTGAAAATTTAAATATTGATATACAAATTAATATACAATACGATGAAGACTTTTACTGTGTAGTAATTTAAGCCAAAAGTTTAGTATAAGCAGATAGGCCTGATTGTGCAGCTCTGTCAAACACTAACAGTTAGTCATCATAAGTGATGAAGATCTACCTAAACATTATCCCTGACCTTGTTGTATGTGTCCAAAAATGCCATACCCAAATGTCTAGAGCAGCTGTTTATCCTGACCCCTGCCCCACCACACACACACATAGGCAGGAGAAGCATAAGTCCTTACAAACATTACGAAAATAAGGAGAAATAACAAACATCGTGAAACACACATCAATTTTAAAAACTCAAGATGTCAAGGCAGACTCTATTTGACTAGATTTAGATGAAGTTCTGAAACACTGCAATCTACTCACTACTTATCTGGTTTTGTTCACTTATTGTATAAAAATCTGATCAACAGGAAAGGAACCTGCTGCAGCAGTATGCCCAAGGCTTCTCTCTCCATTCAATTTTTAATATAAATTGGTATGTGGTGCCCTCTAGTGTTTTACCCTCAATTAGGACAAATGCATCATCCTAAAACATAAAAATGTTAAACCGGTTACTAATTTTATCTACTGTATTCATGGAGAACCACTGCATTGCCGGAGTAATGTACTATCTTTCAAATGAGACATTAAACCGTGGTCCAGTTTCACTTTTGAAGGTGAAAATAAGGAAGTTATGATCATTATTTGAAAAGAGGATTGTATCGGCCAACAATCTTCCAGATCAAATACTCATTTACAACATTGGTCATTTTGTTTGTGGGACTTTGCTGTGTGTAAAATGGCTGCTGTGTTCACCTACACATAAAGCCACTACATTTAGCAGTCATTATTGTAAAACATCTTGAAACATTTCAGTACGATAAAGTGGTTTAAAAATGTGAGTTCTTTCATTCTGAATTCTCACTGGAGACTGAAATAATCTTTATCCCAAATGTGAGGAGATATACAATCACTTATGTTACTCATTATTCAATCCCTGGCACATGTCAGGTAATGTTGTTTTTGCATATATCACTGAACAGCTTAAGATATTTAGTGATACTCAGTAATATGAATTCATTGCTATCTGCAGCAAATACCTAGTTTATGCTCGAATATGAAAATCTAACTGTGTTTCATTACCAACACAAAAATAGTTTCCAATCACAATGCTAAACAGAAAAATATCAAACACTGTATGAATTAAACAAAAATTATTAATGAAACTTTATTCGTACACCTATATTTTATTTCTCCCCCTCTTGCTCCATACCTTTGCTTCATAATCTCTTTACTAAACGGATTGGGGAGTTCTTGAATGAACCAGACATAACATTAATAAGGAGAACTGAAGATTTCAAAAACAGAAGCAGTTCCTCTGTGAGTCAAATCCATCACCCCACTTGAACTCTCATCAGCTAATCTCAGTATAAATCATTGCATTGAGCATCTGATTGTTTAATTATTCATAAGAATGAAGGAAACCTACAGACCCTTTACAGCAAGGAACGTTTTTCCTTCTGTTATTATTGTATTCCTTTCCTAAGAATTGTTTTTGTGCTGAATATTGCGAAGTGGGAAAACGGTTCAGTTTGAATGTACTTTTGGTACAGAGAGATTCCTTGTGCTTTAATTGGCTAAAAAGGTTATTGTGCGCAATTACTAAAATGTGAGCTCAATGCGTTGAAAGATATTGTACCCTCACAATGTGTTAGACCAAGGTTACCAGGGAAGGAAATGTTAACATGGGTAGCTTCCTTCTCCAAACCTTTGTGCATACTAACTAATGAACAATATTAACATACAGCTGTCATAAAATTAATGGTCTATGAAAGTAACAGATCTTTAAAGGACCAAGTAGTAACCTGAATCTATGGGTTGAATTCTCAGCTTACCTCAACAACTCAAAATGGTGCATCTGTTACTGCAGATAGATTTTCACTCAGCCTTGGAATAACTAAAGCGTTTGTTCCAGCATTGGTAGTGAAGGATTTTATTTGTTCCTTCAGTACCAGCTGTCCTATAGGGATTTAAAGGATTCTCTAAGGAGAGGGTATTCTGATCGGCGACGGAGCAGATATAAGTGTAGAATACCCCTTTTTTTTATTGAATGTTCAAAAACAAATAGGCAAGCATCTTATTACAAACAACACCAGCTGAAAGCTTTGCTTAATAGGAAGGCATTATTGATTATCCTGCAATCATATTATCCCTTGGTCTGCTGACAAATAGGTATTACTGGCCAAAAGTATTAGCTATTGGCATTAGCTGGTGTTGATATAGATAATGGCTCAATACAATTGATTAAAATCATATAATAACTGAGTTGTTGTCTCCGGGATCATGGATATATGGATAGATATTTTATATTCAGTTTTAAAATATATATATTTTCTGAGATGTTCAGGTATTTCTTTTTTTATTCTGCAACTGATGCGTAATTTCCCTTCAGCATTGACTCCGAAATGACTGCTTGAGAGAGGAGAAATCTCCAACCATGAAGGTTGAATAAATTAGCATGATAATGTAGGGGGCTGGTAATAAAAGTTCCTGTTTAGTTGCATAGACATGAAATGCTTTGGACTGATGATACTGACGCTAGGAAGTTAAACCCTTGTACAAAATTAATATTATTTCTAAAAATGGGTCTTGCTCCGCTTATGGTTCAGTGACATTTCTAAGTAATACAAGCCCTGAGGTTTGATTTATGGTTATGCTAGTTAGCTGATCTCACTGAAGGGGGTTAAGTGATGGAGACAAAGAATTAATTCAAGATTCCCACTACCCAGCAATCGCGACTGAAACAAGTATGTAAACGTCAGGTGAGCACAAGATTCAGCTCAGTCGTAATCCTCCCAATAGTTAAATAGATTCACATATGAAAAATGGCTACATCATTAAGATACTGGAAAGCTTTTTAGTGTCTGTGGAGCAATACAGTGGAAAGTCATGCAATTGTCTTTTGGAGTTAGAAAACATTGGGACAATAATAATGTTTTTATTAATCAGACAAATACTTGATTTTGGAGGGTTTGTGCATGCACAAAAATCAGGTTTTCATTTTTTAATATTACTAAAGGGATGATCATGTCACCAACTTTTTAATAGGGTCAAAATGTTCCGTTCGTTGCCCTTAGAATGGAACTGTGACAGCAAGTCTAATGCGATTTTTACTGAGACCCTAATCACACTTCATATTTGCCAGCAAATCACTTGCAAAATCGCAGTAATTCATCAGCAAACATGTTGTATAAAAACAGCATAGAAAGCATTTATTGATAAAATAATTCACAATGTCTCATCTATAATAATGATCCTTCATCTAGAACAGATGATGGAGAAATGAATGTCTCTACATGGAACCCAGGTGCCCTTATAGCCAATTAAGCCAGTTTCTGAGTCAGGTGCTCAGAATTTTTCATTAAAAGTAATAATAAATTGTTCACTTTAATCCACGACTGTTTGTTGTACACTGCTGTGTGCAATTGGCTGCCGCGTTTCGCCCACAAAATATCCAGTCAATTGACTTTACAGTATATTCTGTGAAACTCTTTGAGATGTCTTGTAGACGTGATAAGGCGCTATATCAAATGCAAGGATTATTATTGGTGACTTGGTTTTGTCAGGCACAGCATTTATCAATTGTTGAACATTCATTAATCCTATTCAATCAAACATCAAAAGACTATTGGCTTGGTATCTTTTATTAATGACCTAAGTTAAATGTTTTTCCAGTTTACAATGTCCTTGTGTATTTCTTCAGCATGACTTCTTTTCATATTCATTCGCTCAATGTTACTTTACACTTGATATAATAACATATACAAAATCTACTTTTCAAGCCACATCTATTGCATGATGGAAGCTAAATTCCTATTATGTCTGTCTTTATTGGAGTTATACTCAAATAGGCATTCTGATTAAAGCTATATACCCATGGTGTTTGTGTTGAATATTTTATGAAGTAGCTTCCATTTCCGCCAACAATTTATTAATTCTAGCCTTGAGCTCAAATTTTAAAATACAATTAGCACATTGACAGAGGGCACTATATTTCTGCAAGGCACTCTTTTTGAAGATCAAATGAGAGATTGCTATAGCTCACATACTGTCAATTTGGTTTATAGCTCAATCTATAGCACCAGTATAGCTACCACCTATAAACATTCTATGATTAAAGGCACAAATATCCATTCTTATCAGGTATAGCTTTTTACTATGTCACCACACCAATTCTACTGCATTATGATTATGGACATAATGTCTATTTCTATATAAATTTAAGATGAAGAGGCTAACAAAAGCTTGAAAATATTTGCAGTTAATTTTTACTTTATGCTTTTTAATCATTTTCCAGTTAATGGAAGAGTAGATGAGGAACCCACCTCACTACAAAGCAATTAATGCAAATTCGTTACTGTGTCTGAGTTGGCAAACTGCCCCCAAGAGATAATATGGTGAAGATGTTCTTGTACTTGATGACACAACTTCAAACTAAAGAAACGAATGTAAATTTTACCAGTTAGAAATTAAGGTGAGCAGGTTTATTGTAATACTAATGCTTTTCTAGAGCTCTTCTTTGGAGAAGAGTCACAAAATGACAAACATGATCTCTAATATTCTCTTCATATAGTGGCCCAGGTTTCCAACTAGTTTAAGAAAGTCTCATGAAAATAAACAATAATCAGTAATTATTTGTGTGTGTGACACATGCATGCTTATCATCTTATCTTGATTTTTCAGATAAACATGAATAGAACCTTCCCCTTGAATCAATAAGTAAAGTTTACTCTCAAAATATATTCACCATATAACACAGCTGAATTGTTAAGTGACCGTTTCGTAATTAAAGGAAACTGCTATTACCTCCTTTTGTTAGTACAAACATTTTGATTAGCATACACAAAGTGGAAATTTCCTGAAATGTCATTAGATAATGATCCAGAGCACAAAACAATCATTTTTACTAGATTACAGAAGACCAAATTATTGATTTTTCGAATCAACAGTAGAAATGATACAGAAAACAATATCTATTTAATGATATAATTGTTGTAACAGAAATAGAGAAAAATTTCTATTTGTTTTATTTTCCAATAATTTAGCAGTGTACCATAATACTGGGGGAAAGGCTGCCATCAATACGTACTATATACACTTAGTTGAGAAGGATTTTTCATAGCGACAGTATTTGCGTGGATTGATAGGAAGATTAGATGGATGCTGTGTGACAGCTAAAACCTCCAGTGGAATTTGATAAGTGGTGTTATCATTTTTTCCAAGCCACATTATATCAGTTTGTTTCTGGACATTCTGGGACCGCTCGCTGTGATTTTTAGGATAACGTCTATGGAGATGGTGATGCTCTCTATCCTGTAAACCCATATAAGATGTCTGGTAGATGCTGAAGTCAGCTAATTTATCAGCCATTATAACTTTTGTCCCCTGCCACCATGATGCAATGTCAAGTGAACTGCGCATATGTTCTTTGGGGAACTTCTTTATCCCCACACCCTGTGAAAGATAATATGACAAGATTTACCATCAGGAGAATACACAAACATCAATAAAAATAAGAGAGAGCTGGGAAAACTCAGCAGGTCAGGCAGCATCTATGGAGAAAGGAAAGTGAGTCAACGTTTCGGGTCCACAATCCTTCGTCAGAACTGGGGCATGTTGTGAGTGAGCAGTTTTCAAGGACTGTTAACTATTTACTAGTGCACTTTTAACTAGTGCACTTATGCACTATTAACACCTCTTCTCCCCAGTTTTGTTTCAACCCACCCCCCACCTTGTTTTACGTCACTATCACCTATTTAACCCATCAACTAACACATTCTCTCCTTTGTCTTCCTTGTCCTGCCGCCCCCTCTCAACTTGTCCTTAAAAACCTCTCTCTCCCTCCCAACATGCCCCAGTGCTAACGAAGGGTGATGGACCCGAAACGTTGATTCACTTTCCTTTCTCCATAGATGCTGCCTGACCTGCTGAGTTTTCCCAGCTCTCTCTGTTTTTGTTTCAGATTTCCAGCATCTGCAGTATTTTGTGTTTTGTTCAATAAAAATAAACTTGGTACTCTTCACATGGCTGAAGCATTGGGAAAGCAGCGAATATGCTTCCTCAGTGGCAGAAAAAGAATATCAGAAGGTTATTTTGGATTTTTCCTAATTTCCTGTTACAGAGCCATAATAGTGAGGGCTTGGGAAAAGGTTGTTTGTTAATATGTCTGACAAAAGAGAACAATAATTGTAAAAAATAAAAGTAAAAGTATTACAAGTGTTTATTGAATCTTTATAATTATTTCTCAATAGTGTACAAATGTTTCCTTTCCTTTATTTGTTGACCTTAAACACATCAGGTTGACATTTAAATATTATGCCAAACTAATTAGTTTGAATAACATTATTTTGTTACTGAAGTTTCCTTTTATTAATCTCAGTGTTGTTGAACAATAGCTTCTATTCTCTAGTAAACTGACCCCAGTTTAGCTTTGGAGAAAAATACATAATGAGATCTGATGGCATCAGTGAACCCCTAACAGTGAAACAAAAATTCCTGATAAAAGGAAATCTTCAGGAAGATCAATGAGAGTCAACTCAGCATACCTTTATATACATTCTGAGGGTGAATCGATCAAGGTAATAGGTATTGTTCATATTTATTTGTGCATATATACTTATATAGTACAATATGCTACGCAAGCAACACACAAATAAATAATTCCTAATACTTACATAAGTGAACATCTCCATGCTATCTTTCAAAGCGTATATGTTGTCATGAAGTGAAAATGGAAATTCCTTCAATGATCGTTTCTATTAAAATACAAAATATTGGAGAAATCTGTGGCCACATTGTATATTGACCCAAATTGATAATAATTCCGCAATATAATCAGCTCCCTAAAATGTTAGTTTTCAAAAGTAGTTTTAAAAGTAATTCAAAATACTTACAAAATTCATCATTTTTGACATTTGCCTTTATTTTTCCTTGAATACTGTAAATTGGCTTATTCTGGTGCACTCATATTTTAGCAGGACTAGGCATATTAGAGTTATACATATTTTGCTTAAACTTTGCTTCATTTCTTCAGAAAGAAAACATGAAAATTCATGTTCAGTTAATTTAAGTGTGAGTGCACCCATTCCCTACAACAGTAATGGCAATAAAGTAAACAATCTACATGTTTTGCTACCTTTTGTTTATTTGTGCTAGATTTGTACATACATTTTCCATTACCATTAAATAAATATACCTTATGTTACTAGATTGTTATTCACACATTGTTGCAAATTGTGACAACTCATGAATTTTGTATTTCAAAATTAATTATAAAGATGTGAAGAATGTTAAAGGATGTCATGAAGAAATTGTAACACGGAGAGTCATATAAAATAGAACTTGGACGGAAAGAAAGACTTTCAGAAGTCATACTGCGGATAGCTATTGGCAAAAGTTCAGAAGGAAGAATTTCGCAGTGNAAAAACTTGATCTTGATTGAAAAGGTTTGGCATCCAAAAATTTTACACACTGTCTTACCTTCTCACGTGCTATGTACATTGCTGGCAATCTGTCATTTAACTTCTTTGGAGAAACAGTCTCTTTTTCCACTAGAAAAACATCTGGAGCATTTATGTGCTGGTACTAAAGAATAGAAATTACAGGTTCATCCAAAATTAATTGAATAGATGGATTTTTTTTACTGCATATCGTTAATTGAACATTGTATAATTAGGATTATATAATGCAAGAAGATTTCCCTGGTAATAGTCATTCAAAGTACTGTATAGCTTTTAGTCCCTGGATTTGGACTGATTAGCAGAATTCCCATTCGGGTAAATGAAGAAAATTTCTACAGTATTTCACCAAAGTGCTCAATCTTTAATTCACAGGAGATTTCACATTATAAAAATAATCTTAAAAATTACTATGATCTTCTCCAACCTCACTCTACTGTTAGCCCCACATTTCTGCTCACTCTTTTTGTTGGCAAATTGGGGCCTGCGGCTTGTCTCCTGCTACCTCTGCCCCACCATACATAGACTGACCTTACAGAGACTGCTACCATTCTCTCGAACAAATTCTTTCCACCCCTATGTCTCACCCACTCTCAAACTGTCTTGAAAAACCATCAAAAAACCTACAACTTCAACCATGCTTACAGCCATCTCCCTCCTCCTCCTGCTCCCTCCTTCTCCTCCTCCAACTGCCACGTGGAGTCCTGTAGCTCAGTGGTTAGAGCAGTCGCTTTGCAAGTGAGAGACCTGAGTTCAATTCCAGGCAGAGGGCGAAACCTTGGGCAAGTTTCTTACTCCACACAGAGCCTAATAATAATCCCTCCAAAACCAAAAACAATAATAAATTGGTCATTTTCAATCTACGACTGTTTGTGGGACATTGCTGTGCGCAATTGGCTGCCGCGTTCGCCCACAAATATACAGTCAATTCCCTTTACAGTGTGTGTTCTGTGAAGCGCTTTGGGACGTCCTCCCAACGTGAAAAGCGCTATATCAAATCCAAGGATTATTATTCGCCCAGTGGCTGGCTGCGTTGCTGCAAATACTTGATGTTACTCTATGTGAAAGGTGCTATGTAAATGTAAGTTGATTTTTTTACTGTATTTGTGTCTACCATATTAACCTGTCCGCTCCCTCCTTTTAGCAGGATACGATCTACTCCATATCCCCCACCTTGCGTGTCCCACCACTAGACGGACCTTGAGCTTTTCTGACCACACCCTCCGGAACTCTATCCTTGAATCTCTCCGCCTCGCCCCCTTCCTTGCCTCCTTCAAGGCCCATCTCAGGACCTTCCTCTTTGACCATGGCTTAGGCCACACTCCCACCCCCACTCCCCCTGTCCTCCAACCCTCTTGATTCCAACCCCCAGCTCGGGTACAAATCCTTAACTGCTCCGCACCTTGGGACATCCTTCCAACTTGAAAGCCAATGTATAAATGTAATTTGTTGTTATTATTCAGCTGTCACCACCATACACTGCCTTGAAAAGCTGCTTCAATCAAGTTTGTAAACNAAAAAACTTCAAATAATGTGAACTTGGGATATGACTGAAACAGTTGTTTCATCACATTGTCTTACACCTGTTCAATATACAGATTTCCTCATCATGTATGAAATGTAGGATATACCGGCAGGTATGAATGTTATCTAATTTTTTATTGCTATAATATAAATCAATCTTGCTGTAACTGAGATTTATTCAGTTTACCTTTGCTTAACAGAACTATTAAAATGAAAAAAACAAATCAAATATTTTTTGTATGGATTTTGAATATATTACAATGTGGAGTCACGTAGCTCAGTGGTTAGAGCACTCGCCTCACAAGCGAGAGACTGGGTTTGATTCCCCACAGGGCAAAATCTTGGGTTTCCTTGGACAAGTTTCCTTACTCCACACACCTGATAATAATCCCTCAAGAAAAAATAACAATAATAAATTGGTCACTTCAATCCATGACTGTTTGTGGGACACTGTTATGCACAATCGGCTGTCGCGTTTCACCCACAAATATAAATTCACTTTACAGTATGTTCTGTGAAGCGCTTTGAGACGTCTCGAAGATGTGAAAAGCACTATATCAAATGCAAGGGTTACTATTATTATATAATTTACATTTATACTGCGCCTTTCGTGTCGGGAGGATGTCTCAAAAACTCTTGGATGATAAACAGTAGTCAGTGAAACTATTAATTGTTGTAACTGGGTAGAAACACGTGAGTCAATATAAGTTGCAAAAATGCTTTTTAATGTTGACTAATTTTATTTGATAGTTTATAAATAAACCAATTACTGACAACTGATTAGTTCATCGAATGAGTAGCAAAAAAAGCAGTGATTGTATGGAGAAGCGTAAGTTAAGAGTCAACCCAAGTCTTGGTCAGTGTTTGAGACAATTGTGCAACAAAGAAACATGTCCTATTTCCACGTGAATTCAGAACAAAATTACGAAATGCATTCGCCTCAAGTTACAAGTATTTGTTTTGCAAATAATTTCCGGATACAAATCACATTGTTTCTTTGAGTTCCTTACCCATTGCCCATCTTTTTTTGTGGAGGGGTTGGAGTTCCTTCCTTTAGGCATTCTCTCTGTCTCAGGACACTTTGCAATTCTTTTTTTGTTGCAGATCCGCCACAACTTTGTATCAAAATGCCATTTATTCCTTTCCGGAACCTAATTAGAATTAGAAACCCGACTCCTGTAAATAAACAAAGCAGGTAATAAAAAAGAAGTCAGCAGCAATAAGGCAGAGCCGTGTAACAGCGACAGGGAAACCTCACACAGTGTTCCAGCGCTGAGTCCTGTAGAGAGAGAGAGAGAGAGAGAGAAAGAGAAAAGAGTTTCTATGAAAACATAGCAACAAGAAACGTGGCTCAAACGCGCCCTCCACAGAGAAGGCAATGAATGTGAAGTTTATGCCTCACACACTTACAGAAAACACTGGAGTGCAGATATAGCAGCTGTGGGGAAGAGTTGCACATTGCCCTTAAACCTCAAAACAATTGAGGCGAATGCAGAATACGATTCGTAGGCGTTGTGTCACAATTGTCTGCAGAGTCACCTTCCTGCTGCTGGAGTGCAAAACGTTGGCAGCGTATGTCAGAGCAATCAAAACAACAGGTGAAGTTGCATTAGTTATCATTGGGGGGAGAAGCTGTCGTCGTATTCTTTTTCCCCCGATTTGTTCCTTCTTCACCAGCAAAAATGGTGTGCGGTTCTGCTCGACTGCAAAATGCAATGCATTTTCTTTTGTTCACTTATTTTCCAGTGTGTTGCAGAGTGATCAGATGGCGAACTAACAACAGCCATATTTATTTCCAAGAGGTAGCTGACCCTGGCTGTGTTAGCAGCAATCTTGTCTCTGCTTCAGACGTTTGTGTGTTCAGGCTCTACTTCGCCCACAATACACAGTCAATCTACTTGACAGTAAATCCTGTAATGCCTGCCTTGGGGGAGGGGGGATCCTTCCAAAGTGCAAGGATTTTTATTATTATTATCCAGAGACTCTGAACTTTTACTTGTTGTAGTGCTGGTGTTAGCATTTGTAATGGAGGGGGTGTGGGGGTGGTCTCCTTTGGATGAGACATTAAACCCATATTTCGGTCTGCCTGTTCAGGTGGACATTAAAGATGCCATTGCAGCATTCAAAAAGAAAGGGAGTTTATCATGGTATCCTGGCCAACAATCCCTCAGGTAAAATTGATCATTCACTTCCCGCTGTTTGTTGTGCGCGTTGCATTTGCTTATAAAAAGTCACTGCACTTCACAGGAAACACCTTGAAGATGCTCGCAACATTATAGGCACTGTATCAAATGCAAAGTTTTTTTTTATATACGTATTAAATAAGATGTAGTTCAATTACTCTCCATTATCCTCTTTAAAGGGTCCAATGCGTAGTGATTTTTAACAGGATTCATTAATTAGAATCTGAGCAGGAGGATTCCTTCCAGTCACCAGAAATATATCATGCAAGTCATGTCAAACTGTGAAAATTTTGCTTTGAAAGTAGATTAAATTCCCACGGTTCATTTTCCAGTTTTCTTACTAAAGAATTCTGTTAAAAAAATCCTCAGTGGCAGATGTGAGATTTATAATCCCATTAACCAACAAAAAATTATTCCTTCTGGTTGCGAAAGTTATCGTGCACAGGCAAAAATAGCCAACGTGGGTGTACCTTTAATGATGATCATATTTACGATAAATTTATAAATTTCTTTAATAATTCAAGAAAGGCAATGCTCTTTTAGTTAAAAGAAATGAGAACACAACAGAGAGAATAGGTGATGGGGACCCAGTCTTCAAACAATTTGCACAATATGAAGAATATATTGGGCTACCGATTTGAAAAGAGGAAACATTTGTGGTTGGTATCATTATTCTGTGATATTAATTATTATTAATAATTATTATTATACAGCAAACTCTTGATAATTTGATTCTGGCTTAACTTGTCACTACCACTTACGTCATCCTTCTGTCAATATTCCAGCCACATTTATTTATACATATGCCTAACTCGCCACTTCAGTTACCTTGTGGATTCCTGTAGCTCAGTGGTTAGAGCACTCGCCTTGAAAGCGAGAGACCTGGACAAAACCTTGGGCAAGTTTCGTTACTCCACACACCTGATAATAATCCCTCAAGAAAAAAACAATAATAATTTGGTCACTCAATCCACGACTGTTTGTGGGACACTGCTGTGTGCAATTGGCTGCTGCTTTTCGCCCACGAAATATACACTCAATCCACTTTACAATGTATCCTGTGAAGGGCTTTGAGATGTCTCGACGATGTGTATCAAATGCAAGGATTATTATTATGAATATTATTAATTGTATCTTATTCACAGGGAGATGGCCACAGAAGAGCTTCATTAATACACTGACGACGTTCGCATTACAGGACACACAGTGATGCAACAGAGTGGTAAGACATTATACTATAGAAGTGTAAATGATGTCAGGGAGCCAGCTGGAGGGGATGGCTATAAGTGCCATTGCTGCTGCGTTTGTTGTTGTTGCTGCTGTTGCTATCATTGTTGTTGTTGTTGCCGCTATTGTCGTTGCTGCTTCTGTTGTTGTTGTTGTTGTTGCTGCTGTTGTTGCCGTGTCCCCTCCCGCACCAGGCTCCGCAACCCTATCGCCCCCATCCTCGCCTGAACTCCTCTGGCTTCCCATCACACAGAGGACACAGCTCAAGATCCTGCTCCTCAATTTCAAAAGCCCTCCACGGTCTTGCTCCTCCCCCCCCCCCCCCACCTTTGCCACCTCCTAACCCCTACCATCCTGCCCCCTCCGTCCGCTCAGCGGGACCCCAGCCTGCTTCACATCCCGCCCCCCCACCACCGCCTCGCTCGCCCCACTGTGGCCGGGCGGGCCTTTCCGCCACTCTCTGGATCTCCATCCCACAGTCCCTCCGCCTCGCACCCCCCCCTCCCCTCCCCTCGCTCGCCACCTTCAAGACCCCCACCCTCTCTTCGACCGTGCTTTTGATTTCCCTGCTTCCACCCCCGTCACCCCCCTCCCTGCCCTTATCCTGCCCACTCCCCCCTCCCCAGCCCTTACCCTGCCCACTCCCCACCCTCAGCCCTTACCCTGCCCACTCCCCCACCACCCCCAGCCCTTACCCTGCCCACTCCCCCACCCCCAGCCCTTACCCTGCTCACTCCCCACCCCCAGCCCTTACCCTGCTCACTCCCCCACCCCCCAGCCCTTACCCTGCTCACTCCCCCACCCCCCAGCCCTTACCCTGCCCACTCCCCACCCTCACCCTTACCCTGCTCACTCCCCCACCCCCCAGCCCTTACCCTGCCCACTCCCCACCCCAGCCCTTACCCTGCCCACTCCCCCCACCCCCAGCCCTTACCCTGCCCACTCCCCACCCTCAGCCCATACCCTGCCCACTCCCCCACCCCCAGCCTTTACTCTGCCCACTCCCCCACCCCCAGCCCATACCCTGCCCACTCCCCACCCCCTGCCCACTCCCCCACCCCCAGCCCTTACCCTGCCCATTCCCCCACCCCCTGCTCACTCCCCCCCCCCAGCCCTTACCCTGCCCACTCCCCCCACCCCAGCCCTTATCCTGCCCACTCCCCACCCTCAGCCCTTACCCTGCCCACTCCCCCCCCCCCTGCCCACTCCCCACCCTCAGCCCTTACCCTGCCCACTCCCCCACCCCCCCCCCCCCCCCCCCCCCCCTCCCCCCCCTCCCCCCATACCCTGCCCACTCCCCCCCACCCCCAGCCCTTACCCTGCCCACTCCCCCCACCCCCTGCCCATACCCTGCCCACTCCCCCCCCCCAGCCCTTACCCTGCCCACTCCCCCCACCCCCTGCCCATACCCTGCCCACTCCCCCACCCCCAGCCTTTACTCTGCCCATTCCCCCACACCCCGCCCACTCCCCCACCCCCCGCCCATTCCCCCCACCCCCTCAGCTCGGGTCCGAAACTCTATTGTCGTCGTCGTCGCTGCTGTTGTTGTTGCCGCTGCCGTCGTCGTCGTCGCTGCTGCCGCGGCGCGCGCGGCCAACTGTCGCATGGCCAGGCCGGAAGTGAGGCGCCGCACATCCGGCGGGCGCGGGCCAGCGCGGCTCCGAGCGGCAGAAGTTTCCAGTTTGTTCGGCGGCGCCGAGAAGGTGCCCTCGTGTCACTGTAACGGCAGCGGCCTGACCGACCCCCCCCCCCCCACCCCCATCACTGACACCCCTCTCCCCTCCGAGCCTCTACCCCCGGGGGAGGGGAGGGGGGAAGAGAGAAGAGCTCCTCAGCCCCGCGCGCGCACACACACACACACACACACTCTCCCTCCCTCTCTCTCTCTCTCTCGCTGCTGCTTCCAGAACATTCCAGCTTCGGACGGTTATCATTTGATTCTTCTCTCCTTCGTATATCTCATTTAAAAAGAGTTCCGATTCCTTTCCACTTGTCCCTCCCTCCGCCCCCCCCTCCCCTCCCCCTTCCCTCTTGTTGTTACGACTTCACTGCGTCGCCCCCATCTCCACTCCCCCCCCCACCCCCCGCACCCCATTCGACCCTCGCCGCAGGATCGGTCCGGATGAGGAGGCGATGGAGGCCAGAGATGCCAAGGCTTGTGCGGCGGGAGCCTCAGGTCAGACCCCGGGCAGCAGCAGCAGCCACGGGGCTCAGGACAGCAATGAAGAGAACGACTTCAGACAGGTGCGACCATTCCCCCCCCCCCCCACCCACCCCCCACTCACTCCCTGGGGGCAAGAGAAACCACACCGTTGTCCTTCATTGGGAACTTTCTCGGCACGACGCCTCCCCGACTTCTTATTCGCACCGCCTTCTTCTTATTTAATAGTAGTGATAACGACGATGACAGCGCTAACGCCCCTTTTGCGTTTGACACGGCGCCTCAGCGCGTCTTCGGGACGTCTCGAAGCGCTTCGCACGAACCTGCGGTGAAGTGAAATCGACCGTGCGTTCTGGGGCGAAACGCGGCAGCCAATTGCACACAGCGGCGTCCCTCGGAACAGTCGGGGATTATTTTTGAAGGAATTATTACCGCCGGAAAAGCGATCCGCCAATTGACTTAACAAGCGGATTCCTACCTGCTGCTAGGGAAACAGAGGCGTGCGGAATAAGAAAATGTGCGCAATGTTTTGCCCTGCCAGGAATCGAACCCAGAGCTCTCGCTTGTGAGGCGAGCGCTCTTACCACTGAGCTACAGGAGAGCCACCATAATAATCTCAGCATTTGATTCAGCACTTTGTCAGCTCGTCTCGAAGGTTTCACAGGATTTGACTGTAAAGTGTGGTGGTTGTTTATTTTGTAGGTGAACAGGGCAGCCAATTTGCGCACTGCAATGCACTGCGAAACAGCCATTAAGTAAATTGGGGTGGACAGCCACGACACCAGAAAAAGCTCCTATCACTTTTGGAATAGTGTTGTGAGATCTTTATCTGAAGAGGCAGATGGGAGCTCAGTTTGAACGTCTCATCCAAAGGCACCTCTGACAGTGCAGCACCACCTCAGCACTGTATTGGAGTATGCACTATAATGCACAATACACAGATACAAAATGTATATAGGTAAAGTAATGTATGGATACTTTATACTATATACCCACTTGTAGAACACTTGTTGCCTAATAATCTGATGTAAATTTTGTATTTGATCAGCCAGGTGTCTGACATGTGGAAACCCAGAGACTGAGAGTTTCACATATTCATGCCACCTACACAATGACATTTTCCTGGAATTCCTATGCTTAGTGGGAAGCACCCTGTTTACCTAATCCCAGGGAATATTAGGTACAGGTTGGTGAGAGCCAAGGATTGTGGACTCCAAAGTGTGGAGAGCTAGAGCAGTGCATCTCTCACTTGAATCAATTTTGAGAGATGGTCCATGTCCATCATTTCTAGGCTTAACTATCAATATGCACTTTCTTCAATATGTTTCCTTCCTATTTTCTTTCTCGTGTGCGGATGATCTCAAGTGTTTTTGGAAACTGATGTTAAACATTGAATTCTATAGTTATATTTGTAGAAATGAAGAATATTAAATAATAATAATTTGGTCACTTCAATCAACGATGTTTGTGGGACACTGCTGTCCATAATTGGCTGTCGCGTTTTACCCACAAAATATACAGTCAATTCATTTTACAGTATATTCTGTGAAGCGCTTTAAGACATCTTGAAGATGTGATCAGGCTCTATATCAAATGCAAGGATTATTATTAGTAGCGACATAATAATTTATTACAGGTCTTTTACCGTATTTGCTCTTGCACCTTAAGAGTGTTTCTATTTCTGATTGTGTTACTCGTGATATTCATGACAATTTTGAATAATTTGATAATGAATTCCAGCCCTAATTTTTATTTTGTACCACCCCCCCACACATATTGTACTTTGTCATCTTTATTATTTCCTTATAACAAAAAATGGTACAACACAATAAATATGGTGTGTTGGTGTCTCATTTATTATTTGCAATTTAATGTATCGTGTATCCATTTTGTGTTCTATAATTTGCAAATTAACAGTATTTTATTGTTGATGAATAAATCTTCACACTCTATACTGCTAGGGATTAAAAATCGATATCAAATATACATTTTGCTCAAAATATACAGTCCATTCACTTTACAGTATATTCTGTGAAGAGCTTTGAAACATCTCGAGGATGTGATAAGGCGCCGTCTCAAATGCAAGGATTATTATGAATGTATCTACTCTTTCATAATCATTGTTTTTTTTAATGTTTCTTCTTAATGTAGGAATCTATTCTTGGTGGTAATGAAGTGAAAAGCACAGCAGTGGTAAAATACTCCTCTGCCCCACCGCCTGCATCTTATGCACGACTCCAAGAAAAAACAGATCTTAAATTGCCACCTGCAAATTGGTTACGTGGAATCAGTCAGCTTGGAGAGACTGATTCAACATCTCTTGGTACTAGCAAGAAGAGCAAACCATTTTCCAGGTGAAGTATTTTAGGCTTATGTTCCTTAGGGAATAAAAACTTACTTTGTTCTCAGTTTATTCTCCAATAAAAAAACCCAAAAAATAATAAATTGGTCATTTTCAATCTACGACTGTTTGTGGGACATTGCTGTGCGCAATTGGCTGCCGCGTTCGCCCACAAATATACAGTCAATTCACTTTACAGTATATTCTGTGAAGCGCTTTGGGACGTCCTCCCGACGTGAAAAGCGCTATATCAAATGCAAGGATTATTATTATTATTATTATTATTATGTTGCCATGTAACCTTATAGTATAATTGCACTTTACTTGAGTGCCTTCCTTATTTGGAGGTCCCATAAGTTTTTGCTTTTGCAAAGAACCTCTAGGCTTAGCTTGCATAAGAAAACTTGCCATAATTAACAGACAAGTCTTTCCTGTAAGTAAAAATCACGCTTCATTAATGTTTCAGATTAAATTATGAAACCTTTTTTAACAGACTGAGCTTGTTGTTTTTGCCATTTTCCTATGTTCACCTCTACTAGTAGTTTATGTAGTTGTCTTTTATTGCAGCTTCACAACATGTTAACATTTTGCATTGTCTCTGAGAAATGAGTATGTTAGTGAAGTACTTGTTAAATCTTGAAATCATCTTTTGACAAAATTAAGGGTTCACCTTCAAGAATTTTCAACTGTGGACTTAAAATATTAAACACTGTTTTCTGTTTTTTCGTAAGCTTTGGCATGGCATATGACTTCATTGACTGCATTGGGAATGATGTTGACGTTGTATCTGATTCTGAGGTATTGTATTCATGCTACTATGCGTTTAATGGAAGGCTTAATATTTATTGTAATGTCATAATTTGTCCAAATGTTTATTTCATTAGCTTGTGAAAACAAATTTATTATTAAATCTAAAATACTTATAATGGAATCATTTTAGGCTGAAAGAGGAAAGATTATCCTCTTTGTAGCTCAGTTGTTAGAGCACTCGCCTCACAAGCGAGAGACCTGGTTTCAATTCCTGGCATGGCGAATGTTGGGCAAGTTTCCTTACTCCACACGCCTGTTTACCTAGGAGTAAGTAGAGCCCGGTTGTTAGTCGATTGGCGGATCGCTTTTCTGGGGGTAATAAATTCCTTCTNAAAAAAATTAATAATAAATTGGTCACTTCAATCTGAGAATGTTTGTGGGACACTGCTGTATGCAATTGGCTGCCGCGTTTTGTCCACAAAAAATACAGTCAATTCACTTTACAGTATATTCTGTGAGACATCTTGAAAACATAATAAGGCTCTATATCAAATGCAAGGATTATTATTTTTGAGATGTGAAGAAGATCAGATTTAAACAGTGGCGCTATAGGGATGGAAGAATATGAAGGCATTTTGCAGGGTTAATATTAGAGTTATAGAAAGTCTATAAATTACATGGCTTGTGAAAGGAAGGAACTGGATGTGCTAAATGGTTTTATCTCATTTCATGTTGTTCTGACTGATTGTCTGTCAGATATCCAGTTCTGGATTAGCTCTAAGATCAGTTATCAGCAGGAATGAGGCTTTTCTGCTTAACTTCCAGCAGTGCCCTCTGTCATTGATCACATTTATCTACAAGGATGCACACTCCATCTCATTGAGCCTCCTCAGAACCTCAGTATCCTGTTTGATCCTCAACTGCCTTTTAAGTCCTCCACATACGCTTTCGCTCACTTGGCTTTCCTTCGATGCTGCAACATTACCCGTCTCTGCCACTACTTACCTCTCTTTTGAGCGGCCAAGACACGCGTTCATGCCTTCACAACATCTAGGCTCGATTATTCGAATGCCCTGCTCTCTGGGCTCCAGCTCCCAAACTGCAGACCATTCAAAAGTCTCCAGCTTGAATCCTTTCCCATTTTAGGCTTGTCACTCACCTTCTTCTAGTGGTTGAATTCAAGATCCTGCTCCTTGTGTTCAAAATTGTTGTTTTATTAGCACTCATTAGTTCATTATCTCATTAGTGGAATGGGCTAGAATGAGTTACAGAGCTTTAGAGTTGAATAGAGCTTAAGTGATGTACTCAGTAAAATAACACAATAGAGGTGCTCTTGGTTAAATAGTTATTTACTGATAATGTAGCTCACTTACACTATCTGCCTTACCAGATATTCGAAGCATTCAAACAAAAACATTCCTAAGATAGAATATTATGTTTCTACTGTTTTATGGTGAGACTTTTCAAGGTTAGAATTAAAAATATCTTATCCACTGTAAGGTTCTATATCAGTTTAAGGAGATTGTTGGGATTTCCACTTTGTTAGGTTTCAGCCTTTATATTGGGTAACCGATACAATGGAATATTTTGCAATAGCATAGCAGGTTTCAGATTTCTTGAAAACAGAAACAGTAGGCAGTTATTAAAGGTTCCTAATTCTGTATCAACTGTACTGTTTATGGATCTGTTTAAACAAATTTGGAGGTGATGACTTGGAAATAATCAAACTCTGCATGTAGAACAAATAAACATTTAAAAAAATGTAATGTTAACACTGTTTTAAAAAAAAAGGTTGTTTTCTACATTCAATATTCTAATGCATAGATCGTATTGTATTTTTGATTATTTCCCTGATTAAATCGTAGTGGTACATTAGCTACTAAATTATCGTGCATTCAAAAGATGAATATAATAATTGATGTAACCATTGGCATTGAGTGAATTGTTTTCAGTTACATTTTTTCCCTCGGTTTTTCACTGAGTTCTCAGATTATTGCTTTGTTTAAATTTAGAACATTAAAAAGCTGTTGAAGATTCCATATAGCAAATCACACGTCAGTATGGCAGTTCATCGGATTGGAAGGACCCTCCTGCTTGATGAACTAGACATTCAGGAACTCTTTATGACCTCAACCCAAGTAAGTCAATTGTGAAGAAATTAGTTTAATGTTTCAATAATGTATTTCTTTCATAAAGTAATTGGTATTATATTGGACCAGCTTTTACTACATTGGGTGAACATTAAGAACCTGAATCAATTATTCTCAATAAAATATGCATTTACTAGAAGTTGGTCATATGCCTGGCTATGTGCAGCTAAAACAACACTTGAGAAGCTCTGCACTAACCAGGAGAAAGCAGTTTACTTGATCAGCACCTGAGCCACCAGTCAAGATTTGCTCCCTCTCTTAGCAATGTACTGTGGCGGCAATGAGTAGAGTACTATTTAAGCTAACAATGAATGTCAACAAGTTACTCAGCTATCGGGAGGATCAACAAGAACAACAACTTGTAATTATATAGTCCATTTCAAGCTGGGCAGTATCTCGGAGTGCTAAGCAGTGGCTGAGGCTGAGCCAGTGGGAGGGGAAAGGTAACTAAGAACAGTTGAAGAGGAACATCTTCAGACATGATCTGCAAATGGAGAAGGCGGGGGTAAGGTGTAGGGATTGAGAGAGAGTTTCAAAGTTTTGGGGCATGGTTATCAATTGTCCAACGCAGTGGAGAGGTCCAGCGGGGCAAGGAGGCAAAGGGAGCCCTGATCACAGAGAGGGAGTATATCATTTGTGACTGATAAGCGCTGTCTCTGCTGTGGGCAGGGCAGAAACCGGACTGAAGAAGCTTGAGTAGGGAGTGGAGGGAGAGTTGTGAGCGAAGTTTGCAACATCAATTCTTGAGGTGGATTTTGTCTTCAATCAGCATCCACTTAGGCCAATTTTCCAACACGTTTTATTGGTAATTGCTTAGTTTTGAATCCCGTCCGGTATCTGAATACATATAAACCACCTATAGGTGTCAGTACATAATGTAAAACATGGCAGCTGAAGTTCTACTATAACCCAAGCTATCTTTATTGTAATAAGGATCAGTGCCTGGGAATTTGACTCAGGTAGTTTTTGACTTCTCTTGTGCAACGTCTATTTTTTTTAAAAAAAGTTCCATGGATTAGGAAAACTACCCATTTTAAAAAAAAAATAATTTCACAAACCATCCTGTTTTTAAAATTAAATATAATATCTTTAACGATAGTATTTTCTTCCTGTGCGCTCCTATGACATGCTTCCCCAGATGTTGGCCGGTGTGCTCCATGACTATGAGATGGAAGGAGTCTAAAGAGCTGTCTCGCATGTTATTAATAATAATAATCCTTATGTTGATATAGTGCCTTATCACGTCATTGAGATGTCTTAAGTGCTTCACAGGATATACTGTAAAGTGGATTGATTATGTATTTTTGTGGGTGAAAATTTTCCATCTCTTATGAATAAATGGTAGTTCTTGACTAAGCATTTCCCAATGATAGTTTGCTTCAAATGATCAATCCAGTACGTGAGACTAGGGCATAACTGCTTTTGTATTGCAGCCTGTTGGAGTGGCATTATACAAATCATCCCTTATAAGGACAATTTTTCTATTTTAACCTAGGAATTTTATAATGCATTTTACATTATGAGCTTAAGCTTATTGGTCTTTATAGGTGAAATAGCGATTGGTCATGACAAAAACTGCACATGATAAAAACTAAACCTAATAGAAACATTTTATACCTGATTTCAGCTCTGTCTCTGTACTATCGCGTTCATTTGGCGTATGATCAATTGTTGATTGTTTTGTGAAAAAGATTGTGAATCAACAAAATGATTATCCATTTTCAGACAGGAGACTGGAACTGGTTGAAAGAACTATACCAAAGACTGGTGGATCCAAAATGGCAGAGAAAAAAGAAAAGCAGAGAACACTTTTACCAGAAGGCTATTCTTTCCAAATTTTTGTACTATAGGTGAGTAGTGTACTGAGCATATAAAGAGAGGGATTAAAATGATTTGATTTTTCCCACGTCTGTAAAAACATATTGTAAAGTTTGTTGCTTTCCCTGAGCTGGGAGCACTTCATTGTGTTAAAAAATGGAAGTGTTCTGTTCTCCAGTATTGCCATTCCTCACCTTCATTAAAGTTCATGTGGTATTTCATTTGGGGTGGGGGTTGCTTGAACTAGACTTTATTCATACTAAAGATGCAGCACTCTGAGGCGCTACCCCAAGTGAAAGGTCCTATATAAATGCAAGTTCATTTGGCGTATATTGTTGTGTTTATTTATAGTTTTTCTTCCCTATCCCCTCCCTCAAGAATTTTATCAAATGTTACTGGTGCAGAGGAATTCTGGCAGGTTTTCTAGTTGAAGTATTTTTGAAAATCTTATGAATATTTTTAGCATTAATGGAGATTGTGGAGCACAAGCAGTTCCAGCTTCAACTCCTATAGCACAGACCAATGACCCTCAGGCACAGGCAGCAGAAGTAGAGGAACCTTCATGGCCAGCACCTCTGGGAACACCGGCTTCTGTCCCTGAAGAAGAAAGCTCCCCAAAACAGGTAACATTTCCTTTTGGTGCATTGTAAATCTGTCGGACTCACTTTCTATATCAGTGTTATTCATGTTTAACAGTGAAATTTTCAACAAAAATCCCTGCATATGTCTTAAAGATGTCTTAAAGCCTTTCTCAGGTTTTACCGTAGAATGCATTTACTGGGTGTTTTGTTGGTTAACTTTTCAATCAATTTGTGTGCAGCAATGTCACACTAAAAGCTATGAAGTGAATGACCAATTTTATCTGGGTATAGTTGACCAGGACACCTGGAAAAACTCCCTTCTCTTACCAAATATTGTTGTGGGATCTTAAATGTCCACTTGAAGAGGTAGTGAGACTTTGGTTTAATGTCTCATCTGAAGGACAGCACCGCTGACAATGCAGTGCTCCCCCTGCACTGGACTGAAGTGTCAGCCTAGACGATGAATTCAGAGTCACAATGTGGGTTCCAATATATTAAATGAGATTTCGCTCTATTAAATGTATTTATTCATACTGTGTAGAATTATTAATTCAAGCAGAAAATGTTCCCCAATTATCCTTTACTGCATTTATTTTATAATTAGTTCAAATATACTAGTTAGTGAATTTACAGCCAAATTTTGCATAGCTAAGATATTTAAGAAATCCGAGTGAGTGCAAAATATTTACATTGAAGTGATTACTTATTCAAAATTGTATGGAACTTTATAAATTGGATCCTTATCTGTATTTCTTAAAGAAATCCTGATGGAAGTTTAATTTGTTATATGTTTGTTGTGAATTCTGCTTCCTTTTTTGAGAGACTGATATTTATAAATGTATTTTTTTTAAGCATTGAAAAATATGCAATAGATTAAACAGGTTGGTGCCTTGATAACCACATTTTCTAGTATCTAGAATTGTATTCCTGAAATTATAATAATAATCCTTGCATTTGATATAGCGCTTTTTAAGTCTTCTAGATGTCTCAAAGCGCTTCACAGAATATACTGTAAAGTGAATTGACTGTATATTTTGTGGGCGAAACGCGGCAGCCAATTGCACACAGCAGTGTCCCACAAACAGTGGTGGATTGAAGTGACCGATTTTTTATTATTGTTTTTTTTCTTGATGAGCGATTATTATTAGGCGCGTGGAGTAAGGAAACTTACCTGAGGTTTCACCCTGACCCGCCCAGGAATCACACCCAGGCCCTCTCGCTAGAAAGCGAGTGTTCTAACCACTGAGCTACAGGACTCAGGCTTCAATGTCTGAGCTGGCACACACTAACGCAGGACTAAAGCTATGCAGACTTTCCTCTGGGTGAGATTTTTGCCCACGGGTTTTGACTGTATAGGTACTAAACCAAACAGCATCTCAGCTCCTGATTTCTCCACAGAAACAATATGTCCGTACGGCAGCTAAAACCTGTTGGGAATATGGATGGAATTGTTCAACTGCGTAAGTTAAAGTACTTACGTTTTGGAAGGAAATCCCCAACCTCTTGCGTGTGTGAGTGGGACAGGTTGCAGGAAGGCACGCAAACACACACAAGTATACAAACATAGATACACACAAACACAAATAAACATGGACACAAAAAAACACACTATTATTAATTATGACAGAATTCCACTAAATTTGATCGATGTGAAAATAAAACACTTCAAGATGTATTTCGATGATTTTAATTTGGATTGGATTCTAAGATGATGATTACAAAATATACATTCAATGCTGTTTTTTTCTGCCCTTAAAGGTATATTATAGTACTGCAGTATAGAATATTTTTAATGCATGTTGGAGGCTACAAGTATGAAGCTTTCTTGAATTTTATTGGAGTTAACCAAATTGTGATGGAGCAGCTATTACCAACACATCTGGAGTAAGAAACAAAGCAGATAATTGAGCCTGAATTGAAATTGTCTGAATAATGAAACACTGCTTCAGTTAAGCTTAGCGTCTGACCATTAAACTAATTGCATTGTAGTGATATTAGTTTGAAAATTGGGAGGACAAGTTGATGAGTGGAACCTGATCTTATGTAGGTTGGTCTATGATAATGCTTTCATACTTTATATACATACTTTATATACATGCTATATCAAATGCAAGGATTATTATTATTATTATTTCAAATGATAATATAGCATGTGTATTGGGTTAAAAATATATGTGCTTGCACTTTTTGAAGGGGAATGTTCCTCTGGAAGCTACGTATGTATTAGAGCAGCTGGCCTCTGCTCCAAAAGAACAAAATCTGACTACATTTTTGAATGAAGGGGAAGACAGTCAGGTATGTGAAGATAACCATTTCTAAATAATTCGTTAAAATAATGCAATCTTTTATAATGAGTCTCAATTGACTTTAATAAAATAAATTAGTATTATTAAATTTACAAAACTTTTTTGTTTACTGCTTTTTTTAAAAAAGTCCCTAGATTTTCAATGTAAGAGAGTTTAATAATTTGCTTTACGTTCTAAAGGGTCTTAAAAATGACTTTGTGAGGAACATTCTCTGGACATTTGAAGATATTCATATGCTTGTGGGTTCAAATATGCCCATTTTTGGGGGCGGAAAATATCCAGCTGTGAGCTTAAGACTCAGGTAAACCCTTTCTCTCTGTTTGTTTGTCCAGGAAATCTTCTCTTCCAATTATCAGAATCCTTTGTTACAGTATTGAGCATAGAATTAATGGAATACTGTAAATTGTAGGAAAATTAGACTTCATTAAGCTAATAAAGTCTTATTTTGTAATGTTATTTTTGTTGGTCTTGTCAGAACTGTTATCACATCCTATTATCAAAAATAAAATGATAATTTTGAGATGGGAAATACCATTCAGATGTGATCTTTTATTTATTTATTTGTAGGGATAGCAACAAGCCAATTAACATACTGACAGGGATTGACTACTGGTTGGACAATCTGATGTGCAATGTTCCAGAACTTGTCATGTGTTTTCACGTCAATGGGATTGTGCAGGTAAGTATTGTTGGTGATTGGGATGTTTGCTGGATGGAATGTGAACCTTTAGCAGTCTTGAATTAGTAATCACTGACCAGAACTATACTAATGTATACTTGTATGCAAAACTAGTTGTGGATTTGGCTAAAGGTTTGCTGCAAAATGGTGGAGTGAGGAAATTTATGATAAAATAAAGCAATTTAATTTAAAATGGCAATACAAGTTTGGTGCTAATTGAAACTCATTTTCTATATGTGCCTACTTATAGTGTACAATCTGTTTTCCTTGTATTTGTTCTGGTGTTAGTGATTCAACATTAGTTTATCAACAAATATTATCTTGACCTTTTTTTCAAAGTGCTTTCTAGTGCATGGATGGGTATAGAGAAGGAAAATTTACTTTTTAAGATCATTTTATTTTTAGTCACTTGTCAACATTTTTGATTTGGTAAAGATAGAAAATGTTATCAGGGAGGGTAAATCTTTTCTTCCTGTTCAATTGCAAACTGAGGATTGGATAAGTTAGTATGTTATAGGCTGGATGTTTTCGAGAGCATCGACATAATGCTTCAACCTTTCCAATAATGGGTTTAATGAATTTCAGTTGATAGCTATAAGTGTTTGCATGACTGCAATTTCATCAAGCAGCTCAATTGATGTCCTGAACCAAAGGTTATTCTTTTTCTACCAAACACCTCGATTTTGCAGTATTGAAACTCTTCCATGTACAATTCTTAAGTTATAAACCATGGAAGGTTATTTTCATGACTTTTGATCTGCCTTGTGTTTATATTGTTGAATCTGGGTGTTCCAAGGGATGTATGTGGCTAGCTATAGCTTTCTTATTTTTTGTATGATATATTTTTGATATAAAATATGCTTAAATATCCTAAATCCCATGAATTTTGATTTCCAATACAGATATACTGATAATGACTATTTTAGATACAATGATTAAATGAAATGGAAAGTAATCACTTCCAAAATATTCTAAGAATACATTGAATTTTCTATTGATTTTGTTTTTTGTGATTCTAATAGAGGTATGAAATGATTAAGACAGAAGACATCCCCAAATTGGATAACTCAAGTTTCTCCACAAAAGTAGTGAAAGATATTGCCCAGAATATCCTTTCATTTCTAAAGTCAAACTGTACTAAAGAAGGGCATACATACTGGCTTTTTAAAGGTAAGCAGAATGTTGTTGAATTGGTATTATAATTTAGAGGCAAGGCAGTAATACATGAAAATTAGTACAAAGGAAAATTGATCTCATAAAGAAAGGTGGTGGTGAGGATTGTATGACTTAATTTTTGATCTCGTTTCTCTGGCTGATGGCTTTGTTTTCTTCCAGCAAGTGGAAGTGATATTGTAAAACTGTATGACCTAACAACTCTTTGTGAAGAAGCAACTGAGAAATACCAAAATCCCTTCACAATGCCTGTGGCCGTCTTGCTCTACAAGTAAGTTGTCTTTAAGCAAATAAAGTTGAGAAGAATGATTCTATTCATTTTAGCTGTCTTGTATGTATCGCAGAGAAGTAAATCAATGTGGGGAGAATCACAATTGCAACACATTTTTGACTGTGGCAAAGAGCTGTATCTGTATGGGGTTTGTGTAATTCTAAAAATGATACATATTCCTGCATCTCAATGGAAAGCCTCTCCCATGGGTTGGATGGTACAAACATTTCTAAAAAAAAGTTACACAGATTTTTGCATGTGAATTTACCCGCCTCTTATTGGAAGTAATAAGTAATATTACTGATCTGACTTCACATTTGCTATGTGGCGCATGAAATTTAGATTTCCTTAAATGTTCTCATGTTTTCTCGTTATCTGTAGTCAAATATTCAAGTGCTGTATTTGAATTTAACAGGGTTGCCAGTAATATGATGTTGAAGAAAGTTCAGAACAAGAAACATTATGGAATCATCAGAACCCTCTTGTTAAATTGCATTAAATTACTAGACAAAGAAAGTCATCCTCAGGTATAAATTAGTATTCTGTGTTTCTTACTTGTTCCTTTTCTGGAATAAATCTCTTTACTGGTATTGTTGGGGTATTATATATACTTAAATTATAGAGGCAATTATCATTCTTTAATAAGCAGACTGTTGCATGATGTAATCGTTTCAATTCTGTCAAATTACCTTGAAAACCTTAATACGCTGATGAATTTTTAAATGTCTGTCAGAAAAATCAATTTATTATGATTCATATTGAATTAAGTTATATTTTACATTCTTATGCTACACAGTAACACTGCAGAGCTAATATAATTTAACTGATTTTATAATTCTGAATATTTAAACAAAATTTTGATCTGTAAATCTTGCTCTTAATAGTTTAAAAATTTGATTCATCCATGCAGTGAATAAAATTTAGCAAGAAGGAAATGAATACATTTTGTGCAGCAAATCTTTTTAATACAGCACAGAGTTCAGTGTTAAAACTTTACTGAAGTGTCAGCTGTAGATATGTGACTAAAAGGCACTGTTACACTGTATGAATTCTATTCTAAAATACTTGTGAAATTGTAGCTACTTTTTAATAATTGATATTTTGCCATATTTTATGATTATTCAAGCAGTTAAAGATTTGCATGTCAGCCTATCTAGGATTTGTCCCTTAAAAAATCTATTGTAGGTTGCACAAATGGCCATTTAAGCAATTAAGATTTAGCTACTACAGCAGAACAGCTAAATTCATGGTTGCTAAATCTTCAATCATCATTCAACAGTTTATGCAGATTGTAGCTTCTGCCAACTATATGATTTCGGAACTATTTCAATTGGATGAACCTCCAAAGCAATATGGAAATGGATCATCAACCCCAAATGAAAACTCTGATGATAGCTATAGTGAAGAAGAGGAGCTTCCGGAGGACAGTGATGAGAATGGTTCCTTCAGCAATGGCTCTGATCCTCCAGACGACAGCAAAGCTGTTGCTATCATTAAATCTGTTGGCGAGTTGTCTGTACCTGAAAAGTATAAATCAACACATCAGATAAGGGTATGAGAATTGTTTTAAATAATCTTTTCTTTTTTACTAATGAAATCTATATTAAAGTTGGGGCCATTTTTATTAGAAGTGTTGGTTAGAATTATAGATCAGAATCAAAAAAGCAATTTCAGTATGTCTTAGAATCTCATATAAATGATCAATACAACCAGCCTGGGGCTAAAAAGGGCATTTTGGCCTTTTCAGACATAAATTGATAAAAAAAATTCCACCTAGATCTAGATTTAATCTGTTTATTAGCATTTAATGTCCACAATTTGACAATCTTAAAATAATTTATAAATAAACAATTTTAAAACTAAGCACATATTTAATAATTTGTCCAAATCTGGATGTTACATAAATAGGATAATTCTATATCCAGGTGAAATTTCTCATCGATAGTTTTTTATATTGGGGAGAATATGAATCTGATTTCAAAGTGTATGGTAGGATATATACTGTAAGGACTTTAATGAAGTAAAATGACCTTATACTCCCTTTGTTTTAAAGCCTAGCTGTGCTTTTCCAGTTTGTCATGATACAGAGGAGCGCTGCAGAGTTGCCCTCAGCTATGTTCTTGAGGTATGTCATTAACTTGTTCCACAAGTAGAATATGCTCATCTTTTGTTACTCCTAAAATATATGGATTGAAGCTGTTTTTTTCCTTGGCAATTTTTTCTCCAGCAATTTTCTTCCAACTCCACCTCTTTGGAGATGTTGACCCCTTGCTAAGGTACTATACCATTGGATACTGGCTACCTTCCTTACAAGTGACCATTCTTTGTAAATCTTGATAATAAGTGCTGGCGGCTATTCAGCGCGTCAGGAGTAAACCATTCCTGTTACCCGTGACATTAAAAGCACCCGGCGCACTGGCTGATTTTCAGTTTCCTAATTAATGGGTGTTGAAAATAATTGTAGGACCTTCAATGCCACTCTGACTGAGTTCAGCTAACTTCACAAAGTTTGGAATCTGCAAACTGTTGGTCTGTTTCTCTTAATATTACACCTAATGTAGCTTTACCCAGGCCATTGGGAGATTTTTTATTTTTTTAAGCAAAATGGTTTTTAGTTGGTTAACTGGCTAAAGTTTTAAATACGTAGTTTCAGCCTTTCTCTGCAAGCAGTCAAATTATTTAATTTGATTGTGAAGGGATTTGACAGTTGATCACCTGGATGATTCCAAATAAAATTTAAACATGTTGTATTAAGCAATTGAAAGTTGGGAGGATTATTCGTGCTCTTCTCAACAACCTCTTAAAAGCAAATATGAAAAATGAATTATTATCATAGGGATATTCATAATATTTGCCACTTATCTTAAATGTAAGAGGTTTGTATGTTCTAATGTTTGTGTTGATTGTTTCCATAAGGGGCTGAAGTCTGTTGATGGCAGTATTAAAAAGGAGAGTGATCTCCCAGCTGCTGACCCCAATATTCCAATCCCTCTAAAGTATGCAGATGAGTCTGAATGTACAGGCCAGAAAGATTTGGAGAATAATATTGCCCTGTTTTTAGACAAAGGTAATGTTAGTCAAAGAAGCTTTAGTAAATTGAATTGGATGTGTAATTTTTGATTTAATAAATTCACATAGCATGTTTGTTTGATCTTCAAATACTTTTAGAGTAAACTGATAGTTTTATAGTAAACTCCTGATAACTTGTCACTCCATGGGAAAAAGGCTCAGCGACTAGTTATCTGGAGTTGCTACTTAAGCCTAGGTGCTCCTGGGCCACAAGTGTCGCTGTGACTGGTCGGACGCTTGGAGGATTGGGCATGAATGCTTAGGGTCTTTTGGCCCTCCAAAAGGCCAGAAGTCTCTGTGATGCATGTGAGCATGCGTGCCCAACCTCCACCGAGTGCCTGCACATGTTAGGGTGGGAGGCCTCAAGATACAATCTTATAGTAACTAGTTATTGATCAATTTTACACTCATAAGTACTTACAAGAATTTCTAGAATGTGACTAGTTGCACGTTAACCTGAGTGACAAATAAAACTTAATCCCTTATTAACATTTTGCATGGGAAGCTGCAGGGATATTGACACCATAGCTACTTAATTGGTAGTGACTAGTTAAGCCAGGTTCTTGTTATCAGGAGTTTACTGTAATTATTTCTAAGAACTGCTGATGTGTCCTGATAATATTTTTGACAGCAGCTAATTATATTGCAATTTTTTTTATAATTCATGCAATTCAGCATATATTTTTGTACCAGTGTTTTACAGCCATATTATGTCATTAGTATAGTGGAAGCAGTTGTATCTGTGTCCCACTAGTCTGGTACCTTGCTGGTTCTCGAATACATTAGGTCATTGAAATGTATTCCTGCTTGATCAAAATGCACTGAATTTTTATGTGAATTTCAAGGTAATCCTTCCTATATTTTTAGCTATTTATTTGGTTAAAAGTACTCCTGTAATATCAGTTTGTTTTTACTGTTTTGTTTTTGATGCTTTTGAAATGATTGCTGCTTTGATTAAAGTTTATTATAATTTTGACTTCAGTATCTTATTTCCTACAGTGGGCCCTGCTCAGGAGAGAGCTAAACTTCCCAGTCGATCTGGAATGATTCCAGATACATGGCAGTATCAGTTGAAACAGAAGTTGATTCTCAGAGGTTCAAAAGCCTACTTTGTTCTCTCAAATGCAGCTGTTACTCTGCAGAAATATGGAAGAGCATTAAGATACATTAAACTAGCTTTGCAGTGTCTTGGTAAGTGACTAGGTAGTGACTATAGGGCAACCTTTTTATGGCACTGTGCTTTGGCTCCATGAAATTCGACACCACTTTATAATGGGATCCCCCCCAAAATGGCTGCAGGTTTCTCCTCAGCCTGTCAGGCACAAGAGCTTCTAGGGCTAGAAATCTTACTAGTTCTAACATTCTGCACATATGTGAATGGATTTCCATTAACGTGGGTCTAGGCCACCCACATTATAAATAGAATTACGCTCTAGCAAAGTTGCTCTGTCTTTTTGTTGGAAAGAGGGACATTGAAATAATTTAAAGTGTGAGAATATAGAGAATGCTAAACCAGCTGAGTTATTATACAACAGCTATACTTGATGCTAGCATTACAATCTTTTGCCTTGTTTTAAACACTCAAACCTGTTTTCAGGGGACTGGACCAAACTGGCCTTGATGTAAAGATGGCTTCTGAATAAGAGTTTGTTGATGTATATAAGTGTGTAGAAAAAATACAGTGCACATATAAACCCATAAATTAATCTTGTTTTAATAAAGTAATGAATCAATTTCAAAATACAAATTGTTACTGTTTCCACAGGCCAAACATTTCTGCTAGACTCCAGTTAGTTGGGGTCCAGATAGCCAGGTGTTTACAGTACAGTATTTCAAATTGACGGATGGCTGTCATTTTTCATCATGTTGATTCTCTTGACAGATGCCTATTGCTGCCTTATTAACAACTTGTCACCTGAAGTCCTGTTCTTTCTTAGCCAGTGTTTGGCACTTATTGGTGACAATCAGTTAATGTTAGCTCAGAATGCGAGCAATAGAGCAGCTTATCAAGAGGAATATGGCTACCAAACTAAAGAGGATCAAGAAATTTTACATAGTCTTCACGGAGAGTCTAGTTGTCAAGGTTAGTGTTTATACTCTTGGTGAGTTTTTGTATCAAATAAAAATTTTAAACTTTTTAAAAGAATTATATGTCAAAATGTTGATATAATAGCTAAACAGAATGAGAAGAGATTATTCATTGTGTTTTCCACATATCCATTGTGTAATAAATATCAAAGTATTATGAATTTGTTGATTGCTAATTGAAACCTTGCTGTTGTCACTTTTTCTCATTTCCTCTCCCCTACTCAATTAACTTGACTGGTAACTATCATATTCTTTAATGTAATCCTTCTAGCTTTCATCTGGGCTACAGACCTTTATACAGATCTAGAATACCAGCTTTCAGTTAGCTGCAAATGTTATGAAGCAGCAAATGAACTGCTACATTCCTGTGATCAGAAAGACTGTGTTATGGAGCAGAATACACAAGTGTTAAAGAGACTTGGCAACAGCAGAAATGAAGTTGGAGTTTTTTATATGAATCAGGCTGCTGCTGTACAGACTGAGAAAGCAGGTAAGTGTTTTGAGATATTATATACATTACTCTTCCCCTTTCTATTCTTCCATTGAACTTTCTTGACAGTTGAAATATGTCCATAAAGCAACACATTAAAAAATGCTGCTGCACACAAGTAATAACCAGTTGTGTAAAACGAAAAGCTAAAATCCACAATTGATGATAGAATTAAATCATCAGAAACTAGTTTCAAGTTGTTTGAATACGGTTTTATTTGTTTTATTTCTTCACACAAGTATAATTTTTTTTACAATGATTTTCTTTTTACCATCCAGCAAGCAAAGCCATAACGACAGTAGAACAAGAACTTTGGAAAAAGAGCTTTTCTTACTTTGAAAAGGGAATTGTGGACTTTGAAGCTATACAAGACAAAACCAATGCTGCCTTGTTGCTTTGCAATACCGGAAGATTAATGAGGCTTTGTGCGCAGGCACATAGCACAGTTGGAAGTGATTTCAAACGAAGAGAGTATTCACCTGAGGAGGCTTTATATTACAACAAGGTATTTATTTTATACGGTTTGCTTACAATTTTGCGCATTTTTCAGTTGACAGCAGATGTACTTCTTCCTTATGAAAAGAATAGACCTGCATACTTCACTCAGTGGTGATATGTTGGTTTGATTTTTGTATGCTGACTGACACCATGTTAGATAAATAAACTCCAAATAGTTCATGCAGATTTTATGAAGGGCACCTTAGGAGTTAACTTGAAAGGAATATTCACTTCTGTTGTACTAATGCAATTAGAATAATTGTAAAGTTCACCAGCTTGATTAGATCTTGCTTTTATAGCCTCTTTTTAATCATGCAGGCTGTGGATTACTACCTGAAAGCGATGAGATCACTGAGCAAAAGGGAGAATCACCCTGCTGTTTGGGATTCTGTGAACTGGGAGCTGTCAACAACCTATTTTACCATGGCAACACTAGAGCAAGATTATGCTCCATTGTCGAGAAAAGCTCAAGAGCAGGTAATAGAAATAATGTAGCATGTAACCTTCCATCACATCGCATTTCTCTTTTTGTTCAGATCAATTGATTGAAAATGATTTTTCTATACTTTGAAAGATCGCCAGCAAATTAAAATCCATCATGAACAGTTTATCTTGTTTTAGGATTCATAATTGCCATTCTTTCTTCCAAATGAGAAAATAAATCTTCATCTACTGTATAGATGTGAGTGCAGAATTAATGGCTTTCTATTCAGAAAATAATTACAACATTTATCAACTCCTTCAGGAGAGCAAATTGGAAGAATTGTAGTTTTTGAAATATTTATTATATGTTTATTTTCTTTCAAAGATCAGTTAGAAAACTTACTGTTTGCTTCAACAAGTATTTGTGACTATTGTACCTAACTGGGTGGTTGTATTCTTTCTTACTTGATCTGATACCTTTGCCATCAAATAGTGTGTATTTACTGAGCTCTAGGAAGTATAGATGAGATCATATTAAAATTATTATATTGTTTTTCAGATTGAAAAGGAAGTCACAGATTCCATGATGAAATCCCTAAAGTTCTGTGATGTACATACAGAGTCTGCAAGACAACCTCTGTGTCAGTATAGGGCTGCAACAATTCATCATAGACTTGCTTCAATGTATCATAATTCTCTTAGAAATCAGGTATGGTGAACTTGATCGAAAACGATATATCAATTAAAGCTTAGTTGTAGTTAAAGCACTTTGAGGTATAAATCCAACATGAAAGGTGCTATATAAATCTTAAATTGCATTCACAAATCTTAAGATTGCAGAATTTACTTGTCAGAAACAGGAGCCCTATCTACTGTGAGTTTCTGTACAATCCCGTTAAAGCTTTCCTTGTGTTAAAAGGTTTTCAATCTACATTTACCTTGAAATTGTACTCCAGTTTCTGAAATGTATACTCCTGTTTAGTTTGTAAACAGTGTTGCAAAATAATGGTTTATTATTTGAACAGCTTTCCTATTCCCAAACAGCACCTTTGCCTTGTATTTTCTGGTAGCACAACTCCTCTGTAGCCTTTGCTGTTTTTAAACTTAGGGTGACCTGTTATAATGTGCTCCGTTCACTTATAGCATGGTGTACTGTGGAGCCACAATATACAATATACCATAGCCACTGACATCATTCTTTGTATGCTGTGCATATGCAAAAGTGCTGGAAGTGCTTCATTCTTCATTCTGTGCTTAGCCAGCATGTGCACTTTGCAGAAAATGGTGTCAACGCGCATCTGACAACCCCAGAAAGACTGATTGGTGCCATTTTTATAATCTGATTTTAGTGGTTATAGACAAATCTATTATAATAGGGTCACACTGTACTTTGCTATTCTCCTTATGCTTGCAGCTATTCTTTCTCAAGTTCCCTCCTTGCATCTCTTAACAATTCCCTAGATTCCTAGATTCCTCCTGTCTTTTCAGATTTCCCTATCTGATTTATTTTCCGAACATCAGTATTAATTCCATATGCTTTCTTCTACCCATTGATTCCACATTTTATCGGCCGTCTTGTTTGGACAGACACAGTACTTTTATAAAATTGAGAACAGATTAAATCTCAACAGAAATGGAAAATAAAGGTTAATAAGGCCATAAAAAAGCAAACCAGGCATTGGGGTTCATTTCTAGAGGGATAGAAATGAAAAGCAGGGAAGTTGTGGTAAACTGCTATAGAACCTTGGTTAGACCAGACTTGTGTGCAGTTCTAGTCCCCATATTATAGAAGGGATGTAGAAGCACTGGAGAGGGTGCAAAGGAGATCACAAGGATTACCCCAGAACTGAAAGTTTATACCTATTAGGAAAGGCTGAACATATTTGGACTCTTTTCTCTTGAAAAGAAGAGGGTAAAGGGTGACCTGATAGAAGTTTTAAAATGATGAAAGGTTTTGACAGGGTAGACATAGAGAAGATGTTTCCACTTGTGGGGGAGACCAAAGCCAGGGGCCATCAATATAACATAGTCACAAATAGATCAAATAGGGAAGTTAGAAGAAATTTCTTCACACAGAGAGTAGTGGGAATGTGGAACATACTACCACAAGGAGTTGTTGAGGCAAATAGCATAGATGTATTTAAGGGAAAGCTAGATAAGTACATGAGGGAGAAAGGTTATGCTTGAAGGCTTAGTTGAGGAAGGGAAGGAGGAGGCTCATGTGGAGCATAAACGCCGGCATAGACCAGTTGGGCGAATGGCCTGTTTCTGTGCTATATATTCTAATGTATTCTAATGTAAAGAATGTGATGTACAGTATATTTTTAACACAGATTGGTGATGACCACTTGCGTAAGCAATACCGCAGTTTGGCTGAACTACATTACAACAAGGCTGTGAAACTGTTTCAGACATTGAAAGATGCATCTTGTGAGTTGCTCCGAGTTCAGTTAGAACGAGTTGCATTTGCAGAGTTTCAGATGGCAAGTAAGTTAATATGTGGAATTGAAATTGCCTTTTAAAAGTTTCTAGTTTCTAAACTGGAGCTGAAATGGTTGAAGTCATATGTAGAACTGCAAAAGGGCAACTGCTGATATGCTGGTACAGTAAAACACACATATGTTGTATCAGGCAGAATAATAATAATAATAATCCTTGGATTTGATACAATACTTGTAGTAAAAGTACTTAATTTTCATGCTTTGAATAGTTTACAAACTTCTATTTAAAATAAAGTGCTTGTTAAGTTGTAAGACGGTGTATTTTTCTGTTGCAGATCAGAATAGCAACACTTCAAAACTAAAGACTGTTTCAGGAGCACTGGATATAATGATAGCTTCTGAGTATGCATTTCAGCTTATCCACTGTGAAGTTGTATGTGATTATGAACAGGTACATTCAGAAGTATTTTTTTAATTGATGGGATGTACGAGCTATGGGAAGAACTTCTACCTGGGTCTAAATTTTCTCTATTGACTTAACATTTTAGATTATCCAGAATTTAGCAAATTGTTGAAATCAGTCTTAATTTTTGAAGCCAGTTTTCTGTAGTTCTTAAATTGATGGAATGTTTCATTTACAGTGGATGTTTGATGGTGAATCACTGATTTTGCCAAAAACTCACCACCAAATGTACAGTGTAAATGGGAGCATAGAAGGTTTTGCTCTACGTATGCCTCAAGCTATGAAAACATGAAACAATATCCTATTCCGTCGTGCCCTTGTCTTAAGCACTTCCTCACCAATTTTTTTTCAGGATGGTAATGTAATTATTTGTATTGTATTGTTGCACAGATGCATAACTGAATGCATAAATTACATTGTTAATTTCAGTAAAAGTAGACTTCATCTCCTTTCCTCTCTTATCACTTTGATGATTGTGCTTTTGGTGTTTTACATTTAATGAGGCTAGACAATAAAGATAAAGGAACATTTGTTTGTAACATAAGATCATAAATATTTACTTGAAGTAATCCAACTTTTGTGTCATTGTAACTTCCCTTTTCACATGAATCTGTTTAGGAGGGAATTGATCAAGAACACCCTAGTGATGGAAATGCATCTGAAATTGATTCCTCTTCCAGCCTTAATAGAGAGGAGCTCCTAAAACTCATCAACATATTTGAGGCGCGCCTCTCCTTTCTCCTATTACAGCTTATCAAATTGTTGACCACCTCTAAAAGAAAAAGCAGGTAAACATCTGTCTTTTAGTTCACTGCTGCCTTGTATCCTATTTTATTGGGAATATTTAGCCTGCAACTTTTCTACAAAACTGATTGTACCAAAAGTTGTACCAAAAATTCATTGGTAAGATCATTAACAAAGTCATTGATGGCAGAGTATGCACTCCTTTTCTTTGGTCTAATTCGTTTTAGTAATCATTGTTTTACTATTAAATAACTAAGGCATAAAACATATAGAGAATCTATGAAACTCAAAATGCAATGCTGCAGGATTGACTAGTTAATTTAACACATTTTTGTACCACCTGTAAAATCTGGGTTAAAATCAAACTGAGCTCATTGGATGAAGAACACTTGATTTTAATTTTTTTTCAGAATTCAGGTGAAAACAGCTGCAAAGGAATTTGGTCTATTTTAGGATTCAAAAATTACAGAAAATATAGGTTTATAATAATAATAATAATCCTTGCATTTGATATAGCGCTTTTCACGTTGGGAGGACATCCCAAAGCGCTTCACAGAACACACTGTAAAGTGAATTGACTGTATATTTGTGGGCGAACGCGGCAGCCAATTGCGCACAGCAATGTCCCACAAACAGTCGTAGATTGAAAATGACCAATTTTTATTATTGTTTTTGGAGATTATTATTAGGCGTGTGGAGTAAGGAAGCTTGCCCAAGGTTTCGCCCTCTGCCTGGAATTGAACTCAGGTCTCTCGCTTGCAAAACGAGTGCTCTAACCACTGAGCTACAGGACTCCAAATTCCCACTCACAGACAATTACAAAATTAAATTCTGGTTCCCATCCAAATTCACAAGAATGAACATTCACTTTTGTAGAAGGGAACCAGAAAATCCTACCCAGTTCTGCAAAATATTCTATTAAACATGACTTCTCCTATTTTAGCTCCAATACAAAAAGATGAAGAAAGGCAGCTTCTCATATTCCAAGAGACAATGGTTCAAAAAAAAAGTTTAATTAGCAAAATAATTTTTAAAAAATGCTGATGATCAGAGTCTTGGATACTTTTTCTGGAGCAAATGAAAAACATCAGCTATATCAATATCAATCCCAGTTACTAGTACTATTCCTAGACTTATTTATGAAAAACACATTTAGTTAGTAGATGAATATTCATCTCTGCCTGTGACAATAGAGGGTGTGGGATACATGCAGCTGATAAGCGGAGCATAACTGAATGAAGACGAAAAAGGCCAGTCAGTGCCTATCGAGTTTAAAATACTCGTCCTCACCTTCAAGGCCTTCCATGGCCTTGTCCCCACCTACCTCTTCGTCCTACTAACCCATTATCAACCTGTCTGCTCCCTCTGCTCAGCAGGCTCCAGCTTGCTCTATGTCCCTCGCCTGGCCCGCCCCACCATCAGCGGTCAAGCATTCAGCCTCTGCCCCACCCTCTGGAACGCTGTCCCACATTCCCTTCACCTCACTCCCTCATCTTCAAGGCACGCCTCAAGTCCGTCGTCTTCGACCGTGCCTTCAGCCACCCTCCTACCCTCTCTGTTCTCGACCCTCCCTGATCCCAACCAAGCCCCTGCTCAGGACCTAATCCCTGACTTTTCAGCGCCTTGGTACATTCTCCTGACGTGAGAGGCACTTTACAAATGTAATTTTGGATTCTATCACATTTTGCTATTCATCTCATTCTTCCTCAATTGAAAGTTCAACCTACTATTTTGCACAAAGACTGCTTTATTTTTGAGCATTCGCTCAAATATTGTCATTACTAGTACTATTCAAATCTTCATAGCTTTGCATTATTACATTTTCTGAACTCTTATTTCTGTCTGTATTTCAATAGCGCCTTTGCCGATGATCAAATGACATTGAGAAACTACAAGCATGCTTATTCAACATTGCTACGGGCAACAGCAGAAAAGAACATCCCTTTAGTACAGAGAGTCGAGGTGATACTCAATTTACTGAACCAGTTATCCAAAGCATCAGCCAGTGAAGCTGGATCTGTGTGACATTTTCAGATGAGTCCCACTGTTCTCATTATGATAAATATGAGTTTATTATTGACCAGACTTCCTCATTGAATTATGGCAATCAAATCCTAACATTTTACAACTACAAGAGGGTGTTGAAGAATTATTTTGTGGCAAATTTACAAACTTCAGAAAATTCTACTGTCTTTTGATATGCTAGTCTTCTGTGGTCATATTGTTCCATGTAGCCAATATTTTACTTGCTAAAATTGTCTCCAACTAAATGCAAGGTACATTTAAATTGGCTCCTATTATGACTACATATCACACATGAAGGTCCCAGATTTGACACTCCCATCTCCAACAGGATGGCAGTGAGTGCTCTACAGTTGGCACCTGCATCCATTGGCTAGGAAGGAGAAAAAGAGGTGGATATTCATAATCCCGATTATTGCTATTTATTGACTGCTATTGGAAAGTGCACTTATGTGGATGGAATTGGGCTCATCTGTGAAGCCTGCATAATCAAAAAAAAATGATGACATTCACTACCTGGGCTGTTGCATGAAGAACGGCATGAAATAATTAGGTTTCACCTCCATCAAGAGAGGTTGGGAGATGATTGTAAGTGAAAAAAATTAATGCAAGTCACAAGTGATGCTGCCTTGTTTTTCTTTTACTTTGTCAAACTATATGCATACAAGTTGAATTTATATGTTTATTATTGAATTGTTCTCGTTGCTGTGTTCATTGTAAATACAGGCAATAAGAAGGATGTTCCTTCAGTGAATGCATTTTTGATTAGGGAACAACAAAATATTCAATTGATGCTGTAAAAAAAGACATTTTTAAATTTTGGATTGCATTTTACTACTCATTGTGTTTAAGGAGAACATTCATATGTAAATAAGATGCAGCCCTGCATTTCCCTTCATCTGCAAACATTGAAGGTGAAGCTTCTAATCTCCTGCATCTTTATGCATGTGTTCACCCTTGGTATACAAACTTCGAAATTGTGCAACATTATTTACCATGGGCTTTATATAAGGTTGAAAGCAAAAAACAGACTTTAAAGATCTCTACATGTAGATTAGGAGGGTAATGGGAATATTTTTAAAACTAGTTTTTTTTTCCCCAATATATCAATACTAAGGTTGACTATGGAGAAAGCTTGCAAGTAAATGGAATTTAATTGTGCCTTGGTAAATTTGAACTGGATTTTAATACATCAACAAGTCACACTGAAAAAGAACCATATTACATCCACTCACATTTTTATTCTATTTGCAGTAGCAGCGAAGAAATATACAACAATTTTTGATAAACAAAATCCCCAAAAGTGTGAGCTGAAACATTTCAAGCTCCATAATGTATATTATGTATTATAATTGTCAGCCTTTTGGTATTGTAAAGTTTGTAACTAACATTATGTTTATAATACTTTTGAAAACAAACGAAAATGTGCAATGTTTTCCAGTAGATAGAATGGAATGCAAAAATTACAGTACAAATCAGGGTTCAGTTTATAAAATTATTTATGTGCCCTTATTATTGTAAGTTTAAAAGGGCATCAAATGTACAAGCACAGAAGCAATGTGTGTAAGCATTCTCAGGACCTGGGACTGGTGTGATCTGCTAATTATGTGGATTGACAAAGATTGCAGCTTTCTGGTGGTAGTACTATTGCTTTGTTTTGCTGGAAGTTTTTTTTTGCATCTTTTTCTGGGTTGGCATGGAGAATATATTACAAACGAAACGCTTTTCATTAAAGCTTTTCCTCTTTGTGAAACTTGTCACAAGGAGAATTCACATATTGGTATTATTTTAATCCTTGCATTTGATACTAAAGTCTTCTGTCAATTGCAGAGTGTTTAGTCTGTTTACTTTGATGCAAGAAATGGGAATCTAACTCAGAATGCTGAGATTCAATATATGGTGTTTAAATATCTGAATATTTCCTTTATAATTTACTGCAGAAATGTTCAAGATCTGAAACCATTTATAAATCAAAATCTGAATTTAATTTTGTTTCCACACGCTCCTTATAATAATCCCTCAAGAAAAAAAAACAATAATAAATTGGTTACTTCACTCCACGACTGTTTGTGGGACACTGCTGTGCGCAATTTGGTTGCCGCATTTTGCCCACAAATATAGTCAATTCACTTTATAGTATATTCTGTGAATTGCTTCCGAGACATCTGGAAGACGTAAAAAGCACTATATCACATGCAAGGATTATTATTATTAACATTATTCCGAGAAGGCAGATACTCGTTTAAGAGCTCTGCAAAGTTTCCCATTATTTGGCAATGTTCTACAGTTTGTGTGTTTTGTTTAAAAGGTTTATCCTCAGTCAAAGCTACATGTTTTTTTAAAAATAAAATATTTAATACAAATATAAAAACAAAGATTGAGATTATGTTCTATTTGTCAATCAATATTTTTGCATACACAGAACTAAGCAAAGACATAATCTAAAACAATAAGTGCAGATATTGTACAAAGGTCAGTTGAAAAATGTTGTATTTCAATGGTGGAGAAATATGCTGAATAGTTCTACTTGTGTCTGTTAGTGGAAAATCAGATTTTTTCCCAAACTGTCTTAACTATATCAAGAAATAAATAGATTTTTAGGTCCGCCCTGGTCAAATATTAATATTTAGCAAATAAGAAACTATTACCACAGTTGGGGTTAAAGTTTGTAGCATTGTTTAAAAAGCAAGACAATCATATTTGCAGGCTAGTAGAACCGTTGTCATACAAGTTTAAAAAGTAGGCCAATCTATAGTCTATCCGGCCTTTGTCATGCATTATATTAACTCTGGTTTACAAGCAGTTTATTTTTTCACTTCAGCTTCCAGTTTGTTGTCAGAAGTCTCTAAGCATATTTAGTTCATTTCCAGAACTGAAGAGTGAACATTACAAATATCAAACCATTGATCTCCTATCTTTCTTTTGGGAAACAATCCATTGTATGGCAGTGATGGATTCCGCTGTTTATCTCTCTCATTGACCACTTTCCAGAAGAAATTATTTTTGAAGAAAAAGATGGATTGATACTTGTATGAGTAATACACAGCATTCAGATTGCTGATGGGGTGATCATCCAGCACCACTCCTGGAAAGACATCTACAATTCTTTTGGGATAACCATTGACCTGTTTAGTATTTACATTGAAAGCAATCACCTATAAATAAAGCAAATTTAAAAAAAGAAACGATTTTAGAAATATTTAACTGATACTTTGATTTATATAAACACATTTCAATAGTATAATAATTGAAACATTTATAATTGGATCAGACTGTAATATGAATAAAATATTGCTGTTCTCATTCACTCCTATGCTTTCCTGTCCAATACTCCAGTTGCCTCACTCTACTCCATCTTTGCTATCATTCTTAGGGTCATATTACCATCTGCGTGATTTGGATTGCATCTTGAAATTAGTCGTTCTTGCAATAATCTTATTTTTTTTAACAGCTACATGTTAAAGCACCAAAACAAATCCTATTGCATTCTTACCAAATGGTTGTATACTTAGTAGATATGTTGAACCAAGCAGCAGGACAATTTTGCCTACGGTATTAAAATAACAGAAAATACAACACACTATGTTTTCACGGGTGTTTAGTCATTTATATACTGAGGCTTTTAAATTATTCACGTTGAGAGGATGTCCCAAAGCAATTTACTATGAAATGTACTGTATTTGCAGGCTAAGAACATTGACTAAGGAAACTAGTATGTGATGAACATTAGGAATTTCAATTTACAAAGATTTTGAAATTGGTAGCTATCTGTTTTGTTGGCTTTGTACGACCACGTGTTTGTACAAATACTAATGTGAGGTGTCGTATTCAATTTGGCTTGCCTTAATGTAAACATGAGTATTTAAACTTACATTTGAATCTTTGAAGAAGTAGATGTGTTGGTCTCTTCTATCGTAAAAAGCTGTATCAATTGGACTTGGGACACCTGGAAAGCCTTCAGAAATTAACTTAGGATATCTCTTTCCCTTTGCATCTGCAGTATACGCAATATCATTTTCATTATCATATCTCCAATACTGAGTCCCTGTAAGAGAGAATTCGAAATTCAGTTTGAAACTAACATTTCTAACAAACTAACAATAGAATATCTTATCACACTTTGTTGAGTATTGCATTACCTTTGAAAAAGTAGGTGGCATATTTTGTCCATGTCCAAATGTGTACAAAGGCGTCAATCCCCTCATATGAAATTCCACGCCATCCAACTGAGAGAGCAATTGGATCTCCATAGCGTGTCCGGTTATTGCGGTTCTCGTACAGCCAGTACCAGCCATTTCTGAAGAAATAGGTGTTAAATTGAACCACCAGTTCACCATATTGATTTCTTTCTTTGCGAATCCAGTCAAATATTGTATCAAAGGGACCTTCACAAACACCTTTTTTTTAAAAAAAAAGCCAAATTTATGAAAAATGTCATTCTGTACTTTCTATGCATTAACAATTTAGTATTTATTCATCAAAGGCTAGGCAATACAATCAAGCCATTGTTTTATAAAAGATGGCATTGTACTAATGAATGATTTACATGACTCGCGTCTAGTCAATTGCACCACAATTATATATACATTTCCCTTCATTTCTGTGCATTTCTAAAGGAAAGTATACATGTAGCTAAAATCTCTTTATATGTGGCTTCACTGTCTTTTTTAGTTGTGTTACAGTAGTGCAATATCTGTAACATGAAAATCTCTCAGCTCTTAATAATTACAGAATGCAAAGCATTGGAAGCATGAAAACAGTGAGATTGGAGATTTTTTTTTAATTCTGCTAAAATTAATAGTTAATGTAAAATGGACAAGGCTGAACTCAGGTCAAACATTCCATTTTCAATTTGAAAATTAAGGAGGTATGATAGTTAAATGACCTGTGTCGAAATATTCACTGAACTCAGAGAAGAAGCAGCAAAGGAAGTTGTGTCTCATAGAAGGAAAAGCCCACAACTATGAGTTTNAAAAAGAAAGTTTTTCGCTGATGGAAAGTTTTGGTTAATGTTTATTTCAAACTTCTCCCGTTTCAAAGCTTAGTTAGCAAGCTTAGTGATACAATATTGTATCACTACAGCACTGTAGTTATATAATATTCTTTGTATTAGTATATCAGCAGTACAATTATCTAACCAAAATACTGAGAGTGATTTTAATAGTTTTTCAATCCTTGGCAGTTGGATTAACAGACGTGGGGAAATGTCCTAGTAATTTCTATAATATCCCATAATGTGAGTGAATTGGAAATTATAGAAATGTAAATCTGTACTTACCATAAAGTTGCTGAACAGCTTTCCTATCGAGCCAATCCAGCTCAAAGCCGACTTCGTGTGGGATGTAGCTGGACTGCATTACTGAACCAGTTCTGTAGGTGTGAGGTAAACCCAGCACGTGACCTATTTCATGGACAGCCACCTGTACAATTGGACAGATAGGAACACTTATGAAGGCAAAGAATCCTTTCCCCATAAATAGTAAACATTTCCGATGGTTCTTCAAAAGCTCAGTGAGTCATTCATTTATAGTAGTACTCTCGTATCCATAATGTATGTAAAAACTAATTGGAACACATTTACTGCAGAGAAGAAGGCCATCCAGCCTATCATGTCTGTACCAACTCTCTTAAGAGCAATCCTTTCAGTCCCATGTATCTGCCTTTCCCCATACCTCTACATATAAAACTTTAAAATATTAAAGTATGGTGAAAAAGCGGGGAATGGTACTACAGTATAAAAACACTGTAGCCCAAATGATTTCTGTGCTCTAAACCTATGATGCTGTAGAGCTTTTAACTTGATTGTTATTTTATTGCCCACTAAAACGAAAGTTAATGCAGTAGAAACTCATAATGATTATCGCCAACTCTTCAAGATGGTTTTCATACAAAGTGTTTGAATTCATTCCCATTAGAGAGCAAAAAGAGTGAAATTTTCTGCAATTGCCATCAAAAGATCTTACTTTCAGCAGGCTAATCCCATTTGGATTGTTTAGAGTTGTAAATTGATCATCATCATCAAAATGAATGTCACCCAGTTGCCAGGCGTGAGCAAACTCCTGTCCATTGCCATCAAATGCCCGAGTGCAGCCCAAATGTCGACCTGGAGCAAACCCCAAAAAAACTTCAATTATAGTTAGAGCAGCATGATCGTCTGATCGTTAGGTGTACAACATTAAACTAACTATGGTGAACTACAATAAATTGATTGTGAATCCTTTGTTTATCCAGCATTTAACACACAAAATACATCAGTATTTTATGCTTGAGAAATGTTAAGACATGTTAATGGAATTGGCTGCTACATTTCGCCCACACAATATAGTCAATCCACTTTGCAGTATATTCTATGAAGCGCTTTGAGAGGTCTCAAGGTCTTATGTTATGTCTCAACGTGATAAGGCGATATATCAAATGCAAAGAGGATTATTACTATCTGTATAGCGGTTCTGATATGCTGCAGATGTTAATGTTACCTGTCCCAAAGCCTAGTCGGATGTCAATCATTGAGGCAGGGGAAGTGACCTCCTCTTCGAACTCTATAGGCGTAACCTCACTCCACATCCTAAAAGCCAACCTTAGCATATATCTTTGGTCTTCGATGGAGAGTTGTCTGCTGTAACCTTCTCCCATTAGGCGCCATGTGAGCTTTGATTTGGAAAAGGCTCTGCTCTGCAAAAAGGATCCACCTGTTTGTTCCTGTCTGGGAGAAAGCAGTAACTGCAAAAAACGTTTCTTCCGCTCTTTGGAATTTACAGTCGCATTGGTACCTCCATCACCATTATCTGTGGTGCTGTTTAAGTGAGTGGTCTGGTTGAAGTTGGATGTATCATTGAGCAGAACTTTCTTATCTGGAACCCCACATCGTGGCTTGTTCATAGCATCCTTAGTTGCTTCATCCAGTTTTCCTGTCATAGGTAAGCCATTGACCTCTTGGAACTCTTTCAAAGCCTGTACGTAGACAATGCTTTTAGTTGGCTCCGTCTGAGTGTTTCCCACTTGTCTGGACAATGAAGATCCCTCTTGGAGGATATCCAGTAGCTCTTTAGGAGCTGGATGCTCATCTGCACTGTTCTGGTCCTCATTATTATCCCAGTTCACTTGCTCTGTCCACCCATATTTAGCCAAGTATTTCTACGACAGCATGCAAGATAATGTTCAAGAAATGTGATTGTCAAGATTTAGCAGACATATATAATAGATACACAGAGAATTTCAAATTCTGATCAAAAATATATTGAATAGTAAAGGAACAGTACAGCTCAAATTTATTTAACCCCCCACAAGGCAGCTACTTCTGCTAAAGTATAAATCCATAAGATTGGCATAAAATGACCATTCAGCCAAAGTAGCCATTCCTCATATGTGAGTGTTAATGGGCTCCTCAACCATACACACTGTGCCAAGTGACCTTTATTCCTGTTCTTTCCACTAAAATAATAATAATAATCCTTATACCCACACATACAACCTGTAAAATCTTTCTCACTTTACCCCCCTTCCCTTCTTACGCTTGAGATGTTGCAAACCTCACCTCTCCATCCAATACACCATAAAATAACTAAGCCACTATTCGGTAACAAAAAAAAACCTTAATGTATTTGTTGATTAACCCACACCGCTTTATATACACACACGCGCATATATATAATATATAAAATATATAGCCTTAGAGATCACATTTTACCTGAGCTGCCTTCTGATCCAGGATGGGACTCGCCTGTTGTTCTGAGATGGACAGTATATCTGAGTGATCACGGATATGAAAGAGTTTCTCGCAGCCACCCCATCTGATGAGTATAAGAGAGGACAGAAGTGTGAGCTGGAGAGCCAGGAGCATGGTGATGGGACCCGGTGAATTGGCTCGCTGTGGGAAGTGAGTGAAGCACATGGGTTTTATAGACTGTCGGCCACATGATTCATTTCCTTCTAACCTGCCTGCAAACCAACTTCAATTTACAAACTTTTTCCCCACCCCCCAATCTGTCCGGCCACAGGTCGTTAATCTTCTGAATAATTCTGGTAACTGGCAACATTTAACACGTGCATGATATATTTACAGGAAGACCAAAAGAAACACTTAAAAGTCCTTTTTGCATTTTTTAAAATAAAACTGGGAGCCCTGTGATTAGTATTTGCTATTTATTCTCTAATGACAAGAAATGGCTTTTGAAACCCCAGGAACTTTTCAAGCAATCATTAATTAATTTGAGCACTAACATGAAAGAAATTGACTTTAGACGCTCTCAGCTATTTGTAATGTGTTCTTACACTGAAAACGTGTTTTTGGGGACACTTCAAAATGCCCCGTTCTTTACCTTAATTAAAATGCACATGTGATTACAATTCAAATACAATTAAATACAATCTCGATCTCGCTTTTAAGTTTGCCTTGTAGATCGCACATACGTTAAGAAATGCAGTTGGTGAATCATTCAGTAAATATTAGACAGCTGAACAAGGCTGTAGAATAGTTAGTATCTCCTTACCTCAATGTGAAAGTGTTAATGTTGAGTGTTGACTGGAGTTAGAGGGTAAATTTGCTCAGCTGCGGAACATAGCATAAATCCATTCATTCTCTCTCTTTCACCGTTTGCAAATCACATCAAGAATGTAATCACAAACACCACCTTCAGAACTGCTATTCCTGTTCCACTGCACATCTACTATTGTGTGTGAAAGTGTGTGTCATTGTCTGAAAAGCATCAGCTGCCAGGAAGCAAGCTTGTTTTCCAAACTATCGGGTTGTAGAAAAGACACAAGCAAAACAGAACAAAAAAAGAAACAGAACAAAAAAAAACCTCAGAAAAGACACAAGTAAATAATTAAATATATTAATTTTACCGTGGTAAAGAGCACTTCAACTAAATTTTAACTAAAATGTATAATTAACAACCTGCATTAAACGTATTGGAATCTCTCATCATATCAACAAAATCAATTCAACTAAGTTTGGACCGGCAGTTGTCACTTGTAGGGCTGTTCTAATGTATATCAACATATACTATATAATAATATACTATATCAACTGGACCGTTCATGTTTCACCACCAATAAAACACACATAATGGACCGTGAAACATTTATTACTATTAATAATAATCCTTGCATTTGATATAGCGCCTTATCACGTTGTTCAGACACTCTTGAGTACTTTGAGACTTCTTGATGACGTGATAAGGCACTGTATAAAATGCAAGGATTATTATATATCCAAAAATCAAATGCAAGGATTTTTATATTGTAAATTGCATTTCACCCAAATCAAATCATATTTTTAAAGTGATGTTTAATTCCAATGTGAAATGAGTTTGAACTGTCGCAACCCAGATACAACTCGTAATTTGGCACAGTCTTGTGCTGTAAATGACATTCAGAGGTCGTATCATAAGGTTGATTAGGTGCCAGAAGTAGAAAAAACACACTGCTCTATTTGTGTCTGTTTATTAGGCTAGGCTAGGCCAGAGGCACATTGCGGGCAGAGTAGGAGTTTTATTCTGCATCTGTATCTGACTGTGCCTGACATGGGAGTGCTTAGTGGTGGAAAAATGTAGAAATGTGTTCCATTACCCAGAACTGATAGTTCGCGCCTTGCTGAGCAGAAGAATTCACAAAGCATAAACAACTTTTGTAGCCTTGGCCTTTTAGCCTCATAACCTAAACTTGCTCACTTATCAACTACTGAGGCAATATTTTTGCACTGCAGTTTTCAAAAACACTCAAAAAATAGCTGATTTATTAGACTTGCTTCCATTAGGTGTTTTCTTTCTTTGTTCTGTGCCCCTTTCATCCAAACTGAACAGCTCATTGCACAGGAATGTTAATGCATAGTGGGAGACTGTTAAATGTAGGTAATGAATAAAGCAAGAAGCTGAGAATGATTCAAAGCAATGAATCCAATGCTCTGGAATAATCTCCATTCAGCAGTGAAGACTGCAACTGGGGAGAAATTCAAACAACCAATGCACTCTAAAACCCAGCAGTATTTCCTATAGTTGCAGAACACATCATAACTACTGTAGGACGTTTATACAAGTATATAGTATGAATAAATTATGTTTCTCCCATTACTTTCATTTTTAATGTCGTCTTCCAGCGATCTGTTTCCAAGTCAACAAGAATAAATTACATTTTTAGAGCACCTTTCACATTGAGAGGACATCTTCACACAGCTGACTGGGAGCCTGAGCTGGGGAAATGGTGACCATAACTGCAGTTGCCATGACGGGTCTTAAGGTGGGTTTTGAAGGCATAGATGTAGGGAGGAGAATGGACTCTGCAATGGAGTTCCTGACAGATGGAGCTCACCATGGTGAGATAGATGGGGTGGAGGACATGAAGCACAGCTGAAGCTGTGCGCAGGAAGCAGCCACAGCAGTAGAGTTACAGAAGGTCGAGTCGAGTGGAGTAAGGCTGTAGATGGATATGAAAGTGAGAACGCAAATTTTGTATTTGATCTGCTGGAGGATTCCCAGCTTCACACTAGTTAAAAGAATTTACAGTGTTAGAAATGTATTTTGTGAGAAGCACACTTTAATCACAAACAGATTTTACTCGCATAGCAAAATGCATCCTTCAGTATACAATACACTACAGTGTTTACATTTTAGATACACAATCGGACGGTTCACAGCTACAATATAAGAGTTATCCACCAACATTGACCAAGATGAAGTGTTTTGAAACCAGTTTACTGTGACTTCCAGGTCAAGCACATAAGTCAAGTCCTCAACACACTTGATTTACAAGTAGCCTTCATGTCTTTACAACTTAGGTTTGTAGATATTTTAATTTTTTTTATATGTCAGAAGTTTTCTTCATCTGTTAAAATTAGGGAAAGATATATTTTTTAAAAATGTTTCAGTGTACCCAAGACAGTAGACATATCAAAGACCCACAGCAGTAAATTTGTCTGTGTATCTGTGCCGTAACACTCGATGAAATTCTATTTAAATGCCACCTGTAGATGAGAATAAAGAAAAAAAGAAGAAAGAAGGCCAATGAAAACCTACGAAATGGACAAAGATGAAAGCAAGAGAGAAATTCAAGGAGGAAACCAAATAAAATAAAGCTCATACAACAAGTAAATAAATTATTTGCAATGAACAGAAGTTCAGATTTCACAGCTAGTTGACAAGTTGACCTGAGTGTTTTCAGCATCATGACAAACAACAAGTAAGCAAATACACTTTTGTGACCCTTATGGGTGGTTAGATCTATCAATAACAATAGCTACACTTTCTTCTGTATAATCTGCTTCATAAAAAAGCATCCCTGCCACCACAAGGTAGCACTTTACACTTCTGCTCACTTTGTTTGGTAGCCCTATGATGAGCCACCTGAAAACAGGCAGTCAGGACCTCAGTTTTATATCTCACCTGAAAGACTGGTTGTCCAGTAATACTGTACCTCACCAATGGTGTGTCAGACTGGACAATGAGCTCAGAATTTACTATGAGAATTGAAGCCACAACCTTCTGATACATGATACCACAAAAGCACTATTGACAGTGCCAAGCTGCCACAATACAATTTAGACTTGATATAGCATTATCACTTCCAGCAGGAGATCAATGAGGAATGGGAAGTGCTAAAACAAAATACCAATTTTTTTTCATTCTTTACTGTTCCTCCCTAAAATGACGCACCAGAATACATAGATAGCTTAGACTCCAGAGGAAAGTTTTCTTCACTGTGTCTTAATGCAGTAAAGTCATCATGAAGGAATCCTTTCCTGAATATGGATGCTTACATCTGACACTGTAGATTAATTAAATTCAAAAATGACAAATGAACAAATAGCTATTACATTCAGTTAAACGCACAAAATCGCAGGGAGGCAGTATAAAAGTATTTCCTTGCAGTTCTCTCTAACCTCAGTCATTCAATATTCATGCTGGTCACAAACTGCTAGTACATTTTGTGGTCCGGTAAATAAGCACTTAATTATTGCAGCTCTTCCAGACATTTTGTTTTCATCAAGTTTGCAATATCAAAAATATAAAGATTCTGTGAAACAGATCTTTGGTGCGTATAGATTAATATAGAGGAACTCTAACAGTGCAAAGACAATTTTCAATTTTGTTGCTTTTTTTGTATTTGACGACAGCTAAGCTGCTAAACTGTTTAACATCCCAAAACAGGGTTGTTTTTAGCTTTCTTAAGATACTGCTAATGTGCAAATAACTTCTCCAGAGAATTATTTTTGGATGCAACTGCTCTGCACTTCACGTGTTGTGCCTTAAATTGCAGTACAAAAAAAATTCTAAAGGACAATCAATCGTCAAGCAAATAGTCTGTTAAACGAAGGGCAACTCTTTGTAAGTGTGTGCTCCACGGTTATTGGAGGATGCTCCGTATACTAATTGCTAAATCATGTGGTGTAGGCTTTCCAGCAGTGCAGCTCACAGTCAGTCCACTTGCTACCATGGCATCAGCTGTCGTGGGTCCTATGGCTGCAAACTGTAATACAAAAACAATTCAGTATAAAATGATCCAGATTTTCATAAATCATTGAAGGTATAGAAATCGAGCAACAGTATTGAAAGTTTAACAGCTCAATATCTACTGCCATGTTGTATTCAAAGCAAATTGAAAGAATATATACACTATTAGAACAGTTTTTGTTATATACATATAAGCAACTTTAAAACTGAGCTCATTGTAGACACTGTTGTCATAAGTTATCTACACAGATGTGCAAGTGTGTGGGGTAAAGTCACTGCCTGACCATACAGGCTGGAAGGTTGCAGGTTTGATTCCCATCAAGAATTAGCGCTCTCACCCAGGGTAACAGTGTGGCTTATACAATTGGTCTTAAACAACTAAGAAAACCGAAGAAATAGAGCTATTTAAATGATAGCAAAGCTTTTTAATGCTTTAACGCTTGCTTCCTTCTAGTTATGTGCAAAACTAAAACCAGATTTTGTGTCTTAAAATCAACCTGTATCTTGTCAAAGAGTCAGTAACATATATAATAGACTTTCTTTAATCATCATAACACCCCATTATAAGCAAGTAAAAAAAATAGCTATGTTAGATTGTATGCAGCTAATAGGTTCAATATGTAAACAAATTAATGAGATAAGATCATCTGAATCTGAACACATATGAGCTCTTCACAGAAACCATACCTTGATTTGATCAAGAAGTTCTCCTGATAGCTGCTTAATTACATTCAGGCAAAACTTGATACCAGAAGGACTGAAGAAGGTAATACTTTCTGGGATTCCCTGATGGAGATAAAAGAAAAATAAGTTAATTGGTCCCGACTACTATCAAGCTAGGTGCTGAGTTAACTGCCAAGAAGCAAGAGGTGATGGGTTCAAAAAGACAATGTCCTTGCTCAAACACGTAATGAAGGGGCAATTCTCTCTGTGTAGCAGTAAGTATAAAAAGCGTGCATTGAGGATGATGTCCAGATATTTGCTTATGCATGCTGTCAATGATATAATCTCACCAACATGTAGAAGCATTTGCCCCCATCATAGTTTGCTTCTCTGCAGAGGGCGAGTTAAGAATTGACAAGTACTCAGACAACGTGAGGCAGACAAAACACCAGCCTTTATAAATCAGGCCCCGTAGTACAGCATTTTATTCTAGAAGGCATAACCAAGAACAGTAAGGCATCAGTCAAGAAATCTTAAGTTTCAAACCAATTTGAACAGAAGTTAAAAAGTGGTAACATGGGAACAGAAGAACATAGGGGATCAGAAAATATCACCTTGATATCTCACATTTCATTAAGACAGTTCACAATTTACTGAAGTGATCAGCTATTGTAAGAATGAAGCATCCTGTGGACATATAGTGTACCTGTTTTGAAAAATAATTACTCAAGGCCTGCTGGATGAGAGGATGTTCAGTTGTGCGATAAACAGTGATGCCCTCCAAAGGTACACCTGAAATTGGTACAAACATTTGTAAAACGGAAACAAATTGTAAATATTATTAAATGAAGAGAAACCATAGCACTCCAATACTAAATGTTTACATTTTTCTACAAATTCTTGAAGTTACAATATTACTATTACTCCAGTAATTTACTTTTTAAATAGTTTACACACACAAAGTGACTTTATCTATTTTAAGATACTTTAATTGTTTAAAGTCTAAAATGCCAATGAAAGTAACACACAAGGAAAACATACACATACTGGATTCAAAGTAGCAGTACCTACCCTTTTCTTTCAGACATTTAGGAAGTGTTTCTCTCTTTAATGAACCACAAGGAAAAAGTAGAGGCAGAGAATCTGAAGATGTTTCTGCAGAAAACAGGAACAAGATTTAGGATTACAACAACGGCCTCTGATAGTTGTTTTTGTGGTACCACAAAGAGTTAAAAGTAATGTTTCGCTGGTTTCTGTTCAAATCAAGCGATTTGCCAACAAGACTCAGCCTTGCATTGCAATGCGATGCAAAAAACAATACAATGTTTTTATAAACCTACTAATTCACAGCTGCAACAGCTGAAAGCTCAATATAAGAGAGAGGACGATGGCTAATATAAGGGACAGACTTGCTACAAACTATTGTGGTGCTCCAAAATAAGCCGATAAATTTTTTATTGGGGGGTCATCCATAGATTGGTACAGATATAACTCGTCAGTGCCTCCACATTCACTGCATGTGGACATCATAGGAAATGAGATTGGCAGTGAACTGATGACCCGGAAATCAGCTATTTTTGAACCAACATGCAGGGTGGACGCAGGCCCAGTGAATGGGGTCCAAACTCAACTTGCATTGTAACTGAACCAGCGTCATAACGAAGTGTGTAAAAACAGGGTTTGGTTTTATATGGGGATCAAATGAGAATGGCTTCCAGCCAAGCTGTGATGCAGTCGTGATTAAATACTCTACCGGCACCAGTGGGCTGGGCTCACATATGAAGAATGCTCACTTGGGTAGAGAAGCATAAGGATGTTGGTGCCCATAGCACCATATCTAACAAGAGTCTGTGCTTTCAGGGAAGAAAAATTATGCAAACTTTTAAAAAAAATAATAAAGAAAGGAAACTTCTTAATGAAAGTTCTCATTTACGTTCACTTACTGTTGCAGATGTACTCAGCTAGTTTTTCTGCATTTCCAGAATCTTCGCCTTGTGTTGCAAGCCCAATTTCATTAACTGCAAGAAAGCCCCCCCCCCAAAAGATATTCAAATGACTAGGTTTTCCTTTACCGTTTTCAAGTACTGCGACTATTTTCTGATAAGGACCTCAGACACAGCGTGCTGCTATTTGTCAGAGAGTTTAAATTTCTAGCTGAGCAATTCTCACGCCTCAGAAGTATTAAAAATCTTAGTACATTTAAAGATGATGGGATCACAATGTTCTAGGAAATGCTGCTCCCTCTCTTCTCATATTTTAGTGGCCTGTTTAATGTTGCATAACTAGGCCCATTCTGTACGTCTGTGACCTCTCGTTTTACTGTTATAGATTGCTGTGTCAGGATTTTAACCAGTACCCACCATTCCCACTCAGCATCTTTACTGAGGACCATTCTGGTTAATAAGGGATGTGCATGTGCACAATATCCTGAAGGATATTATTATGCAATAATAATTATAATAATCCTATCATTTAATATAGCGCCTTCCACATTTAGAGGACATCTTAAAGGCTTTTTACTGTAAAGTCTAGCGACTGTGCATTTTTGGGGTCAATTGCTGTGTTTAACCCTTGACCTGTCACCAGTTCGAGATAAATGACTGTCTCGTTGGGCTGAATAATTTCAAAACATTCATGTAAAGCATGTAAAACGTGTAAGCAACAACAATCTAAAATTCAATTAACCTAAAATATGTTGATAACCCAACCCTTCGATTCTTAAGCAAACAGCTTTTGTCAAAACAAATCCTACATCTCAGAATATCCTTTACATTCTGGGTCATACATTCACAAATGAAAGTAACCAATCTGTTCAATTTCACTGCTTGCAAACATGCAGATTATTCGTTTTTGTGGGCCATATGTTTAACACCAAGCATACAGTATTTAAATAAACAATTTACAATTTCAAACTAAAGAAACAGACGCAGAAGAAAAGTAGTGTGACTGCGCTATGTTGGTGGAAATGTGCGAGGAGCAACACCAAAGCTGTTTGCTACCAGTCACGCTGTGTGCACCGGAACGTGAAGTGTACTCTTCATCATTTATTTGCCTACACATTTGGTGAATTGACGTTTGGGGTTGAATTCCCATCTCTGCTGCAATAAACAGGTTATGAGAAACCACGTCACAGCATATTCTGTGTTTTTTGTTACATCACGAAAATGGATTGCTCCACCCCACCTTTCCTTTCATGTCGCTAAAATAACCACCCACTCAAACAGACCAGAATGCAAAGCCTTTTAGCTGCTTCTTTCATGTGGCGATGTGTGTACTTTGCAAATTCTTGTGTATTTGTGCTGCGAATATTTCCCAAGAGTGTAAAACTGTTTGTGTTCACTGTTCCAACCTCTGCTTTGAAAACAAGGTCTTGTTTGGCCGAAACTAAATTCAGCTCAATTCTTTTAACTTTGAAAACATTACAAAGTTAGACAATGCAGGGGAAAGGGGAATAGCAGAAAAAAACTGGTCTGTCCTAACATACACCAATTATTGGATAATTATGTCCTGGATTATAGTTAAGACAACCCAACTCTACGATGAGAGAGCTCAGTGATGGCATTTAGAGGCAGTACAGAGAGAGGGAGTGCATGGAGACAGCGGGGCAGACCAAGGGAAAGAGTATGGGGAGAATGACTTGTATGGTCACCCTGACCATTTCCCCCCAATGCTCGGGACCTGACCCAACTGTCCAGCGCCTTGGGACGTTCTCCCGACGTGAAAGGCACTCTATAAATGAAATCTTGTTGTTGTTGTATAAGTAATAATGAGCTAGTATGAAGACGGAGAGAGAGCATGTAGATAGACATACAGACAGAATGACTGTGGAGGAAATAGAAATTTTGAGAAAATAGAAATGGAGCACTTTGGAACAAGACAGCGTGAATGGAAAGAGTGTACAAGGGTTGAGAAGGTGAATAAAATATTACTTTAGATAAAACAGTTGGTTGAGAATTCTAGTATTTTTGCCCCTCTACCGTATAAGACAATGGTTTACAAGGAAAGAATAGAGAATTGGGATTCTGTACTAATAATAACCCCTGCATTTGGTATAGCACCTTATCAAGTTGGAAGGACGTCTTAAAGCGCTTCACAGGATTTACTGTGAAATGAGGTGACTGTATTTGTGTAATGTCCCACAAACAGCCATGAAACAAGGCTCTAGTATCTAACAGTTCCATCAAATGCAAATAGTCTTTAATTATATTGTTTGGTGGGCTCAGAGATGATGATGACTAAGGTGATACCTTTTCTAAATACAGTATGTGGTGAACGAAATAATAAAAGCAGACACAACTTTATCCAATGGTTCTGAAATAGGTTGTTGCATTGCCCTCTGCTGGGGGCAAGACAGCATATCTATATAAAGAGATTCTCTTCCACTTTGGTGGAGCATTGACAATCTTAACAAGCACTATATTGTGCAATACTCTTTCTTCTTTACCTCTACTAATAGTCACTTCTTCATTTTGTAATGTTACTCTTCCTGTTTCACTAGGCGCTAGCTTGCATTAAACTACATCAGCAAATATCTAAATACTTCTTGAGGTAGATCTTGTAGGTTTTGTAATCCTATTTTTCACATTGCTTAACCTCATCAGCACATTTTATATTGGAAAGTAGTGCTCTCTCCCACGAACAGTGTGCACAATATATAAAACTAACTTTTCTTACCTAAAGAGCTGGTAGATTTTCCTACAACATAGATAGATTTTATGCTCCATTGTCCTTTTAAAGAATTATTCCAAGCTATTGAAAAGAAAAATGAAAGAATTATGATCTTGCACTATGGAGGTCTGATGTCTTAATAGAATGAACACTTAAAAGGAGATGGTCCAAAAAATGACTTAAGCTATTGCAATCTGTCAGAATGATTCCGTAGCTCTCTTACCTGCCCTGAAATCTTTCTCATCCAAACATAACTTGACAGCATCAACTGCTCTAGGACTGGTAAATATCAGGCCAGCATAAGCTTCTGGGTGGAAAAGCTGCAAACAAATTAGCACAAAAAGAGCCATAATATTTAAATCCAGCACTTAATTCGGTGCATCAAAGTGTCCTTTAAGAAGACAGCAACATTGGTGTCTAATGTGGGTATTGCTAAATGTGAAACGTGTAGTTATCAAATTTCTAAAATATGAAATGTGCTGAAGAATTCTCAGACAAACTTGTTGTTTAAAAGTTTGACAGTTATGCATTTCTTATCAAGAAATATCACAAATGAGAACCTATTATCCGAGGCATATTATTAGTTCTGTCTTTTCACACTAATCACAATACCTTGTGGACACAGACAACTTTATCTTAACATTTGACACCATTCCTATATTCAGGTTCAGATTTGCACAGCGCATACCTACCTTTTGTGATAAATCTGTTAGTGATATAAATTCAAATGACAGAGTGGGAATTAGAGTTGCCTGGAGACCAAGTGAAGCAAACTCCTAGCAAAGAAAAATAAATAGCAGTGGATATTACATCGCAAAAAATAGCATTTCTTTCCCTATACAATGACCCGCGGGCCTGTAGCTGATTATCTAACTATCTAACACTGAAATCAGCTAACTCTGACATATCAAATGCAAAGTAAAAACGTTTGTGAAATATTAATACACCAAGATAATCTTCACAGAGTGACAAATCATTCGCCAATATGTTAGAGAATGTTGGTATCAAAGAAAAGCAAACCGAAGTTACTGAAATTAAACAAAATTGATAAACAATCTTCTCACAAAAACACTGTGCAGAGTAAGTTATTCAAAGAGGCACCTCTAGGATGCATCAGGAACAAAATGAATAGTTTTCAAGCTACTCACTTGAATGTACGGATCGGGTCCTGATTCTCTATCCTTGGGATCTTTCAATAATAGGACTTTCATTGTAGACATTTCCTCAGAACTATGAGTGACAATGGAACAGAACCACAAATTGTTGATACTGTTCAAGCACGCTCGATGATCATACGTAGTCATCTATTTCGTCGTTATAAGATTATAGCATGCTGAGTCAAAAGCTAACATTCTTTTGCGGCCAGACTCTCTCTTCAGGAATGGATAACCATATCTATGTGTCTCAGAAAGGCTAATAATGGTCTCACCACAACCGACCCACCACCCATTACAACAGATGCCTTCTCTGATAGGTCTTCTTGTTACAATCAACAGGTCAGTGCCTGTCTGCCTCAATCTATCAGGAAAAATATTGTCTAAAATACTTAAGTGAAACTTACCGTCACATCAAAAACGTTCTACAATACAATTGACATTTATAGTGTCATGTCAGGAAAAAATCTCCCAGCGCTTTATGCTGCTGGATAGATACTTGTGCCAGGGGGATGGGTGTCTTGAAGAAGATGTAGATCTAATATTCTATGGTTTCAATTGTGTGTTTATTCTCCCACGCATTTCACCAGTGGTGTTTCCTCTTAAACGGGAGTATCATTCACTATTTGTGTGTGTTTTCACTTGATGCGCTGTTGCGGTGTGTTACATACTGACACCTGGATCTCCAAAGCCGAGTCTCCCTGGTGAAGTCGGCCTAAGTTACCGCAATCACGTCAGTCAGATATTCTCCCACAACAACAACTTGTATTTATATAGCACTCTTCACGAGAGATAGAGTCTTGGAGCTCTAAACAGTGGCGGAGCTTGACGGCGAGCCAGGGAGAGAGGGGGGAGGTGACCAGAGGCTCAGTCGAAGAGGAAGGTCTTCAGGTGTGATCTGAAGACAGACAAGGAGGGGGCAAGTGGAGCGATTGAGGGAGAGTTCCAGAGTCTCAGGGGGTAGTGGCTGATGGGTGTAGCAAACGGTACAAGGGATGTGCAGGAGGCCAGAGCCAGTCAGACAGTGACAGAGAGAGTGACCGGTCTCACAGACAGAGACGGGGACACGGAGACAGTGACAGAGAGCGACAGAGTGCAGTGGATGACGGAGGCAGAGACAGTGATCATGACTGAGACATTGATAATAACAGACACTGTCTGAGACACCGATAGTGACAGAGAGTGAGAGAGTAAGAGTGACAGAGAGTGACAGTGAGAGAGACAGACACTGTCAGAGACACTGATAGTGACACAGTGACGGACACTGTGACAGAGACAGTGACACAGTGACAGACAGACACAGTGACAGAGACACAGTGACGGACAGACACAGTGACGGACAGACACAGTGACGGACACTGTCGGAGACACCGCAGTTGGTCGATTATCAGGTCTTGACCCGGAGGAGCGGCCGCGATGACGTGTTTCCGGGTTCGGGCCGTGACAAGATGGCGGATCGGAAGCGGCGCGCGGCGGCCGAGGCCGAGGCCGAGGAGATGGAGCGAGACTCGGGGGACGAGTCGGGGTCCGTGAGCAGCGAGGAGTCAGAGGAGGAGATAGACGAGGTCAGGCCGCCCCCCCCCCCCCTCCCGCTCCCCCCACCCCCCGCTCCCCCTCAGGCCGGGGCTCTGGCTCCGGGAGGCCCCGGGAAGCACGTGGTGGCGACCCCGGCGCTGGGGCCTGGTCTCGGGGTGGGGCCTCCCCTGGTCCTGCGCCAGGCGGGGCCTGAGGGACGGAGCAGTCACTGGGGGCCGCGGGGCGGGGTGGGGGGGTGTGGGGGGGTGTCAGGGACTCTCTCCCCCTCCCACTCGGCTCCTGTCAACCCTGGGAAGCCACGGCCCGGGAGGGGAGGGCGGGAGGTCCCGACTGGACTACCCAGACACCAGTGACGTAGCGAGGGATAGTCATTTGGGTGCCCCCCACCCACCCTCCACCCCCTCCCCAAACCCCCCCACCCTCCACCCCCTCCCCAAACCCCCACCCCCCACCCTCCACCCCCTCCCCAAACCCCCCACCCCCACCCCTCCCCAACACCCCCCTTCCCCAACCCCCCCCTCCCCAAACCCCCACCCCACCCCCCCACCCTCTCCCCTCCCCAACCCCCCCCCCCCCCCCCCCACCCTCTCCCCTCCGCCCGGCTTGGGGTTCATCTTCCCCTTGGCCTCCGGCTGGGTGTCGAGCCATCCCCGCTGCCGTTCATGCTCCGAGCTGCTACCCACGTGGAGGGTGCAACATGAGTGCAAAGGAAAAGAAACAATAATAAATCGGTCACTTCAATCCACGACTGTTTGTCGTGTTTGCGCCGCTGTTCGCAATTGGCTGCTCCGTTTCGCCCACAAATATACAGTCAATTCACTTTACGGTGTATTCTGTGAAGCGCTTTGAGACGTGAAAAGCGCTATATCAAATGCAAGGATTGTTATTGTTTTTATTATTAAGTTGTTCTTGTTCTAGGTGTAATAATGATAATACAGTGCAGCAATAGTATTAATGAATCCTTTGATTTTAAAACGGCGAAGTATCACAAAATCTAGATTACTGATAATGTAGTGAACGTGAGCTTGTAAAACAAATGATTTTTACTTTTCACTGATGTGTTCGTTCGGGTGTGTACGTACTTAAGAGTATTTACATGTGTCTATTACAGGTGGTGAAAGTAGACTTTGAAGCCCATATCATATCTGATGATGATTATAGTGGAATCAAGAAATTGTTAAAACAGGTAACTTGAAAATTATTTTAGATTTGAAGAATAAATTGGTCATTTTCAATCCACGACTGTTTGTGGGACACTGCTGTGCGCAATTGGCTGCCGCGTTTCGCCCATAAATATACAGTCTTTACACTTTACAGCATATTCTGTGAAGCACTTTGAGACATCTAGAAGATGTGAAAAGCGCTATATCAAATGCAAGGATTATTATTGTAGAAAAGTTTTTTGTGTCTTTAAATTAACGCTGAACATGCTTGGCCTCACTCGATGGGATACTTGGTAAAGATAATGTAGAGCTTTGATCTCAGCTGAAGCATCAGTAAGGATCTAACTTCAAGATCTTTTCCTGTCTACATTCCTTATGATGCCCTTTTTTTTGCAGCTTTTTCTGAAGGCCAGTGTAAACACTGCTGAACTAACTGGTATAATTATACAGCAAAATCATATCGGAAGCGTTATCAGGGTAAGGCAATTATGCAGTTTGGTTACAAATTTAAGATTTTAAATTTCTGTTACAGTGCATCAGATCAGTAAGTGAATAAAATAATATCTCAGCATTAAATCTGGTTGTTTTATCTGTAAAAGAGTTCATGGAGAGCTATGGAGAATTATGAAGAAAATATCTGTATGCTTTTTATGATGAAACTGCAATGGTACAAGTTATTGGTTCTTAGTACTGTAATAATGGTCTAAAGTTGTTCGACAGCATGTTTACAGAATTAGATGAACTTTTTTTCATTTAAAGCAAGCGGAGATATTGGATGAAAATAGTGATGATGATGAAGATGATATCGAAGTTTTTGGGTTCATTACTCTTTTACATCTGACTGAAAGACAAGTAAGTACTCAGAGGCTAACCAGAATGTCATTTCAATCTGCAAAATTTTCACAAAATATAGTTTATAGATTATATGTTGCCTATTATTTAGTTTTTTTATTAACTTTTCAAAATCCTTATGACCTAAAACTTTTAATTGTTAGTCAAAATGAGGACTGAAATTGGCCTTCTGAAGATCAATGGGTATTTGGGACAACATTCAAAACATTTTGAGCCGTAAAAGAGGAATTGAAAGTGTATTTGGAAACTAGAATTTGAGGTGCCAGTAATGTTTGTTGAATTAAGACAGTGAAGTTAAGCGATTTGCTATGAAACTTAAAAATTGGGTTCTGAAGGTCACTTTTTTCAAGCCTTTTTTCAACTGAGATACATCCTGATTGCAAAGAGGTACCCTTGATTTTGAATTCTGGTTTGGAGGGACAGATTATTTTGTAAAAATGTAAATTCAAGTTAATTTTGGCAAAAGCAGCTGGCATGGCTTCGTTATTTTGAGATTGAAAGTGAGTGTGCTGTGAACAACATCAACAGACAGGAGCAAACATCTCACTCCTACAATATTAAAAAAACTAAAATATGAAATTTCTCGTTGTAGATGTCTTTGTACTAGTACTTTTTATCACAAGTGATGTTTTCTATGCAGGATTAGGTTTTAGTATTTTGTGTAAATCTTTTTCTTGAGGGGAAAAAATAGGAACAATTTAAAATCATTGTGTGACTGATTGACGATTTTTGTGATATTCAGGGAACTGATACTGTTGAACAGATTAAGGAGTTGATCCTGAGCCAATGCGAGAAGCAGCCCAAGGGCACATTTGAGCAGCTGAAGGAAATATTGAATGACGACAAGAAGCCCGTGGGCTTTCTCATCAGTGAACGCTTCATTAACGTACCACCTCAGATCGCTCTGCCCTTACACAAGCAACTCCAGTAAGAACCCCATACTGAGCTTCTCTGCCTTTGTCCTGTAATAAAAGCCTGTGAACAAAAGGAGAGGAAACTGCTAAAAAAAACAACAGACGTACATTAGTGCAGTAGAATTGCTTAAAGTTCCCTGTTAAATGAGATGAGTCCCTCATTAATGTACACGGTATGTTGATTAATGAATGATTTGTTTTGTTTAAGATTCTGTATTGACAAAGGAGATCACTGCCCAGACACTGACATTCTTCTAATTTACTACACTTCAAAATCTTAACTCATGTTTTCCTAAATCATAAAGTAACAACAGTGTGTTTTAAAGAAAAAAATGTGGCTTTCAGTGTGTCTGGGGATAATTTTGTATCTTAAAATGCAAAGAAGCAATATGAGTTGTGTGAGATTTTTTCTCTTTGTTAGTCACTTTGTTTTAAACTGAGCTGAACACACATCTCTCTAAAGCAGTGGTGGCCAACCTTTATGGTCGGCATTATTTATGGCATGATTATGCCATGGTTGGTCATCACTGGTCAGTAATCATTGCAAAAATTAATTGTTTGCAGGCCACTAGACAATAATAATCTAAATTCAGCCCCAATTGGCACCCTTTTAGCACTTGTTAAGACAGTGAGGGTAGCTGATACATTAAATAAAAATTCCAAGAAAACTGGTGGGTGTGCTCTAGTGGTTGAAGGGAAGGCACATTGTCAAAGGAATGGTTAATCTGCACGTGGTCATGTTAATACCTGATCCTGAGTGCTTGATGCTGACATTGGGTGAAAGAAAATCTCTAAAAAAAAGTGTGGCTCTACCTGTTCACATAAATTGGTTAATACATTATTATTCTTGTACAGGATTTTGATTTACAAACTGCTGTGTGGATTAAAGTAATTATTTTCTCTTCCTATCCTCTTCCCCCACCCCCGTATTGCTATCTTACACATTTAGTGGTGTAAAATTTAGATTTGAGGATAATTAGTATAAGATGGTTCTAAAATGTACATGTTGCAAAACTTTTTAATTTTTAAAAGAATTTATTTTTCTAATTGTTTAGGATTGAGTTGGCTGCTGCCCAGAGAACCAATAAGCCTTGTGGGAAGTGTCACTATTACCTCATGATCAGCAAGACCTGTGTTGAGGTGGTAAATGATCCACGGCAAAGGGGCAACCAACAGAAGAAATTAATGTTTGCAAATGCAGAAGATGAATTCTTTTACGAGGTCAGTTTTGTGCTTTTGGTTTAAATGACATTGGGATTGAAATCTTAGAATACAATTTTTATTTGGGTAAGAGATGGGGTAATTAACTTATGTGTCTGGCAAAGCATCTTGTCAACACGATCCGGGGATGTAAGAAAAATTCAAATGATTGGCCCATTGAGCTTCTATCAACGTTTGACAAAGGAAATGTATTTGTAATTTATTTGTTGAATGTTTTGGCACTTTGTTATTGCTCCCAACTTTAAAAATGTTTTCCTTGTTCCAGCAAGCCACTTTGAAGTTTGACTATTCTGTGGAAGAGGAAAGTGACAGCTGTCTCTCTGGGCGCTGGTCTTTTGATGACATTCCTATGAAACCTCTTCGCACAGTTATGTTAATCCCAGCTGACCGCATGAATATAATTATGGACAAACTCAAAGAATATCTGTCTGTCTGACCAAAACCCTGAGGTGAAATAATTATTTGAATCGGCTAAATTTCAAAGTGTAAATATTTCAAATGGCTCTATTTTATCTTATTCTTTATTGCTAACATATTGTAAAATTACCATTTTAATAAAAACGGTAACCATCTCTTTTGGGATAAAAAATAAAAATTCTTTCCAATGTCTTGTTTAAAAAAAATTTATTCACACAAATTAATACACTTTGAACTAAAATTTAAAACAGCTATTGAATAAATTGTTCATCGAATAAAAGTCTTTACAAATCCACATGGAGATCACATGTGTGACAATGCCTTACAGTGAAAACATGGTAACTTTTGGCACATTGATTGATTGTTGCCCTTTGGATCAGTCTTTGTACTGTGAATCATTCCTTTAGTGAATTAGAAAATGGTCATTGAATGGCACATCTGTCTTCACTCTGGCTGTTTTCCTCTTGCTTCTCGTTTTCTTTGCTTGCTGGAGGATGGTCCTCACCAGTCGACAACTTTGAGAATTGGTCAATAACTTCCTGGAGGAGTTCCTTGCTTTCACTTGGGGGTAGATTACTGAAGTAATACTGTGGAGCCAGCTGGACAAACCTGTAGAAATTTGCAATCAGACTTGGTTAAGACTTATTTCATGTACCTACTGCTATGTGGTTATGCGATGTTGATACATTTTTATGCTACATACAAAAACAATTATTATGAAAATTCAGGAATTGGAGCTCCTCCAGAGTCGAGTGTTGATTGCTAACTCCTGCTGCTAGAAATGACTTGAAGTGGCAGCAGCCTCAAAAGCCCTAAGATGCATCCAAATTCTCAACACTGGGATGGTGCTGGAATCGTTATGTTGAGCGGAGTATCTCATTTTCTGACCTTCACAACAACACTCGAGAGAAACAAAATAAGTGCAGGCCATACACTTTCCCACAAGGAGAGCCAATTCATATTTGATAACTTGACACCTCTGTTACTACTTCTAATTGCTGATGGTCACATGGCTGCATCAAAGGACTTGACATTGACAAAGAAAATTTACATTTTCTCCAAGTCCTTGTACTTTCAGATGCAACTTCTGGGATAATTCAGCTCATGACTTTACTACAGTAAAAGCCTATGTATTACACAAATCAGTGGTTCTGTAAGATTTACTATTTCTGGATGTGTGAGTTTTAAAAAGAATGCTGAACGGTACACTAGAGTAATATATTTTCAGACACTCTCAAATGTTTTCAGGATGATTTGAAGCAGGCCTTGTAAGCTTTTACTGGCCATTAAAGATGTGTGGATTTTAAAGCTACTGTTTTCATCACACAAAATGACTTGTCCCTAAATCCAGAGAAAATCTGCTTTGTATATGGAAACTGCTTGTTTCAAGAAGATGAAAATGAGTTGCAAGTTTCTACTAAAGATCTACAGTGTGATCATATTCACTTAGTATCTAGTAGCAAAAACAGTCATCTGAAGTAACATTGGCAAACATTATGAAGCGAAGGGCTACGAGTGGAAGCTTTTCCAGGCGTTTAAAACTGATTTACATTGTGAAACAGACTCTGTTGCTGGATAATTTCTTTTCAAACTTGAATCAATATGGATTTTAATTTATTCAGTCTAGAATACATTTGAACTGAATCTCAGATGAAAAATTTGACTTGGAGACAGTCTATCACAGAATATAGTTTCCATGATTTGTTTATGAGAGCCTTCCATCCATTGCTGTTCAGCACGGATATTTCCACGAGTCAAATAATTACATTCTTTCCTATGTAAAAAGGCGATTTAGAGTTCAAAAACTGTTTTACAGGTCAACCTTTATAACCATAGTAAATTTACCAAACTGTTTGCAGAAATTGACAATGGAATATCCCCAAAGTTGTGGATCAATAAGGTGCCAATTATAAAAGCATCTAATTGGAGGGAGTGTACTTACATTTCCGGTGAAATTTCTGACACGATTCTGATACAGTTGTTTTCAGATATTGTGAATTCACGGAACAAAACCCACTCTGGTTTCTGCCTGGAAGAATAGTAGCCTGAGAAAGAGTGGAGGTGTGCTACGTGTTTATGCGTTAACATGACATAGTTCCCCAATCCATCAACATCTCGTGCAATCTAGAAACGGAAGGACAGTTACATTAGCTGCATTGATTTGATTGCACAAAGCAATACTGCAAGACGAGTTACAAGACTAATATAGAAGTCTATAAGTATATCTTGACTATGACGCGTATTAAGAAGACAAAGTTCTTTTGTTGGTTTGCATTGATTAAAATCTGACAGTTGTAATTCTAATCTGTCAACTATGTCATTAAAATCCTTACTTCATGTGACTGTAATAGCTGTGGATTTGAGTTCCAGGACTGATTTAACACTCGAGTTCACACAAAGAATTATACTTAATGTCAAAACAATAGCCTCCTTCTGTGATGTAAATAGTCTGCGATTACTAGACAAGCTGTTACGTAGACGTTGACTTCAGGGCAAACCTGTTACACGTTCCAGAAAACTGGCTTCCAAATTAAAGCTTTTCTAAATTTTAAGCCAAAACGGTCTTGAGACTAGGCATATGAACAATTAGGCAATCTCTTTGAAACAGAAACCATTCCAAGAAAACTATACAGGATATGGTCTCTGACGCAATGAGAAAATTCTGCATACGACTGAATCATAAATCACCAGAAAAAGTATGTTTCACCTGCATGAAATAGCCGGACAACAAAGCTCTTTTCACATTCAGTGTATTTTCAAGCGTGCTAAAAGCGGGTTTTGAAATGGGCAGCTCGATACACTGCATGATGCCCAGCAGCTCAGCTCTGATGGCATCCGCTATCCTCAGGGCAGAGTAATTCAGGAAATTGTCACGGCACCACTTCTCAACCTCAGAGTCTGCACAAACAGTTGAAAGAAAATCCATTAGAGGAGCAAACATCTTTCTCAAGTTTAGGAATTCAAGTCAGCAATCTCAAATAAAGGAGGTTACGTTTTCAATCAAATGAGCTGCGTTTTTCAACATACAGTGTCAGTACGCAGCACAATTTGCGAATAAGTTTTAAAATAGAATGTCAAACAATAATTAGTTAATGGCAGATTTGTCTTTACTGTTTTTCTGCTCCCATCAAAAATAATGTGTTATCTTACGTTGGTTTGATGCACTCCTCTTGTTCTGCTTAAATGCACTGTAAACATTGAGGAGGACAAAGTGATCGCCCTCTGGATGAAAAAACTTCCTCCGACAAGCGAATGCAGTTCGCTCTGAACCAGGAGGTGGGTCCACAAAGCAATTGGGAGCTTCAGAAAAATAAAGAAGAATATTACAGAAAATATTTACATCCATCACCATCCGTCAATTCTGTTGCGAATGCTATTTTTTTTTAAACGCATCTACATCTGGTATAAAAATAAAATGATAGTAGTTTGCTTTAACGCACCTGTTACCATGGCAGCTATTGTTAACATTTCGTGAACACAGTCAAATTCACAGGATGCAACAAGAGCTTTGGCCATTTGTGGATCCAGTGGGAATTCTGACATGATTATTCCAATTTCTGATAGATTCCCATCATCATCCAGGGCTGCAAGATAATCAAGATCCTCCAATGCCTGCATCAGAGCTTCAGGAGCTTTTTATTAAAAAAAAGTCTGTTTAGTATATATATATAATATATATAAAAAGTAATGTCATTGTTATCAGATCAAAGGGCAATTTAGCTGCCAAACAATAGGTAGAGGTTCACAAGTAATTTCCCCCAATATCGTCTGCATTAACCCATCTCTACAGTGCACAATACATGAACAAACAATACACGAGAAGTTGGTGAACAGATAGTGAAAATATACACTTCATGATAGACCAGTAATGGGCCTATTGATTGAGAGGAGGAGAGAGAGGGTGGCAGGGGAAGAAAGGTGTCAGAAAAGAATGTTCCAAAATGTAAGCGATGTCAAGAATAAAACAGCAATTACTAAAAAACATCTAAAATTAAACCAAATACACATAAGGCTTTCATACACCGTACATTAATCCTCTTAAGGGTGATTTGAGGCGATTCAATTTTTCACAGAATCTAACGTCTGTACTTTACAAATGCATGGGGATGGAACATGTTGAAGCCGGCTTTCATACAAGGTAATCCGTATTCTATTATCCAGCAGTTTGGATTTTGCTAGCCCCATTTTCTACAGTAAATAAAATTAATTCACAGTTGCCCAGTACGCTGGGGACTAATGATAGGCTCTCTCCTCTCCGCATTTAGGCAGCTCGTGTGGCTTGTAAAACCTGTGCAGACATTACTTTCTGCTGCATTTAACAATTTGAAAGCCAGTTTATTTCATGACTAGAGGCTACAGTATACAGTTATCCCTGACAAAGCAACTAGTATTCTATAGCACTATTGTATTATGTTTATACACAACTTGAGGACAATTTAAAAAAAAAATTCATAATACAATATTTAAGCATTGTCAACGCACTAATATGCTCCAAAACATTTTTTTCTCCCGAGACAATGAACTTACTGCTGGTCGACTTGGAAAAGTGCCACGTTATCAAAAAATCTGTTACGGCCGTGTTCAAAAGATCCAATTTAATTATTGCATCATGCTTCAGTCATGCAGAAAGAAAGAATCAGATGACTGATGCAATATAAACATGTTAAGAAGCCTTATAACAACGGCGGCATTGTGGAATCAGAACCAGTGGAATCAGAACCAGCAGAAAGGAATGTACACAAAACTAAAAGCCATCCACCAGAATCATTAGCAGATTGAATGCAAAGATATGAGTTGTGCTCTGTGTAACTTTTCTATTAGACCAAAAGTTCAGTAAAAGGTAGATCTATTCAAAGGTCTCAAATTAGTGTTCACTTTTCTCCTCGGTTAATTGGAAAAATTGGTTGCAGCTCACATGCAGTGGAATTGAAAACTTGGGTTAGGATTAGACTATCCCTCGGTGACTATGAATGAGAAGAGATTGATGCTCAAATGAGTAAGAGTAAATTTACGTGCAAGGAATACAAAAGGAATTTAAAGATTGAGAGTATGAGTATTTGAATTATCGAAAGACCTCTTTTATTTAACTGGCAGACGAGAATCCAAATTTGATGTTAAATATTTTTAGTGTACTGTTTTTTTCAGATTTTGCAATGGTCAATGCTGTGTCTTCTAATGGAATTTTGAAATCCAGCACCTAATTGTGAATGAACGTTGCTCACTTGTTGCATATTTTTGCACCATTATACAGCATTACCTGGCCTATCTATGAAGTCACATTGGCCCATGTCTGCAATATCCATTCTCTTCAGTAATAGAACCATGCGAATGAGGTTGGATTCAAGAACGTAAGCTGGTGAAAGCTCAGGCATCTCTTTCTGCAGAAATTCCTCAGTGTATAACCGGAAGCATTTGCCTGAATAAGAAAAAAGGAATTAGTTCAAAGCAGCCGTGTTACTGGCATTTTGTTTCTCCAAATAATTTATAATAATAGCATTTGATACAGCCTCATCACATCGTTGAAACTTCTCAAAAGCGCTTCACAGGATATACTGCCAAGTGAATTGACTGCATATTTTGCGGGCTAAATGTGTGTGTATATATATATATATAATAAATGTATGATCACTAACCAATAAAAGATGTGGAATTTAGATTGTCTTATGTATAGGTTCTTGGTTCAGAAAGGTTTCCTGTGAAAAACACTTTGTAATGGATTTCCCAGTTTAAACAGGAAGCGTATTGGACGCTTTTGGCCTTACCTGATCTCCCTGTGCTGATGATCTGCTTGCGCATCTCAGCCTGGATTTTGCTAATTGGTCGCATCATGAGCGAATCTGCTCGTATTCTCGGGTTGTAAACCTAGGATCAGGTACAGATATGAAATGAGTCGTGGCAGATGTATTTTGTTCTTTTAGCAAAAAAAAATCATTGATTTGTGCCATAAATGCAATAAATTCAAATTAGTTTCACTCACTCATGCATTGCTTGGTACAATAACAACGACGTACATTTATATAGCGCCCCCACACATGCAGGACAGAGTCTCGGAGCACTTAGAATAAAAACTAAGCGTGCATTTACAAACACAAAATTTATCCACCAGAAGTGCTGCAGTGTACAAGTGTGGTTTAGGAAGAACAGTCTTCAACCTCCCCTGTTCCCTGTGGAAATGGAAACGCAGTAACGAGGAAGGTGAATCTCACAGATCTCCTTAGTGCTGTGCAATAGTGCTCCAATACAATATGCAGTTAACTCTTCAACCACTCTTGAAACATTTCAGTTTATATCAGGCAAAACTGAGGTTCAACCTTCAGAATATTGTACTGATGGCATGGTGTATTTGTAATGCAGGGTGATCAAAAAGTCATGATATCATTGCAATTTCTAATAAGTCTTAAAAGAAATTCTGATTTTTTTAAAATAGGGTAGAAATCATGACTTTTTGGTCAACCTATACACCCTCTGCTGTAGATTTCCTGACCAAGATCTTTCTGCTATGGATTTATGTGAATAATCAACTCTGCAACACAGTTACTCACATTTCTTCTTTCAATGCCAACATCAATAATAAAATTGACATTCTCCATGCAAAGTAAGGACTCTCCCATGCTGGTTGTCAACACCACTCTCCTCTTGTAATGTTTACAGCTCTTCTCCCACACTTCGCTTGGACTATAAACAGGTCTGCCCTGTTCTGGAAAGAAGGGAATTGGAACTAGTTCTCCTAATACCGGGTGTAGATTAGAAGCTTCTTGTCTGATTATACTGCATGCTTCATCTATTTCCTGCAAGTACATAAAGATAACATGTAAATACTGGTAATACTGTTAAGTCTCTAAAATGCTACATTATAAATTCAGGATGACCAAAAAGTCGTGATATCATTACAATGTCTAATAAGTCTTAAAGAGAATGACTTCACCATCTATACCATATTATTAGGAACAAAAATCACTAGAATCACGCATGGATTGAGCTTACCTTTTTACAGGACAGAAAGACTACCACATCTCCCTTCTCCCGGGTGTGGTGTATCTCAAACAGCAGTCTCAGTGCAGGCAGGAAATAGTTTTTCTGAGAAGCGCAACTGTAAACAACCTCGACAGGACACCTCTTCGCATTGCCCACTTGGATCAGAGGAACATCACCGTAGTAGGTGTGCAGTTTACTAGACATGTGAGGGCAGGTGATTATTACCACTTTAAGCTCTGGTCTCTGTTTTACAATGTCCTTCAGAAGCCCCAGCAGCACGTCAGTGGAAACTGTTCTTTCATGAGCTTCATCTATGATGATAATTCCATAGTGTTCAAGTAAAGGATCTGACATCATCTCTCGTAGCAACATGTCATCTGTATTGTACCTAGAACATTGAAGCATCGTCAATTGGCTTTCTCAGTCTCAAGCCACTCAAAACAGAAGAAAGAGGGACGAGAACTTCATCAATTATTAGCACAATAATATTAAGTGCTAGTCTGTAACACAGTCTTGCATAGAATGGTCATTATTGAACGAAATTATCAAAAGATAATTTAAGAAAACCTATGTAGAAAAGATTGACACTTTAATTTTCCCAACTTTAACAGGTTTCTAAACAAAGGCCCCAAAGGCCAGTCACAGTACAGTACTTCAAATTTGATCAGATCATTATTTTATTGAATTAAAAGTAATTTTACACTAAAAACAATAAATAACTCAAAAAGAAGTTAGAAGTTTCAACATGATACTTAACAATCAATATATTTTTAAAACTTTTAAGACTAAACCACAACAAACGGTTGCTGTTATTCTACAAACATATGAAAGGTCTCCTCAATAAGAAGTTACAAAAAAATTATAAACAACTGGCTAAATATATGAGAGTAGTGGTACTATTGTTACATTTAAGTGATGATCCTAATGCTTTGTTTTTAAATTAAATCAATTATAATAATCAATTATAAAGATCGAAAAGAATATGGAGTGAAGTGTTGCATTTTATAATTATCACATGAAATCTTTTTTACAACATAATTGTTTTCAGTTATATGTGTAAAAGATCCCTGCACAATACCTACATTAAATATTAAGTAACGATGTTAAGTCAAATACATAATTTATATTTTGAATCAACGGTAGTTTGGGTGAGGAAATGCTCTGTATACCAAGCAGTCATTACAGTCTTTATTTCACTGTTGAACTCTTATGTTGAAACCTAACTTTCTTTCACCTTTCTGCCCTCCAGCTCATCTTATTCGTTCTACTCTTTCTCTCTTTGTCCTGTCACAATCTCTACATGCCACGTAAAAGAGTAATATAAATGATAAGGAACAACATATGGCGTTAGTTGCTTGGGAAGGGCTGGGCAGCTGCAGTCCTACAACTTATTGTTTGCTGTTTACATTTGAGTGGCAGCTCTGTGAGGGTCACCAGAAGTAAATGGGAAGCACACAGACCTTAGGATAGTTTCATTGATGCAGCAGTTGTCGAATGGAATTACGTAGCCCACTTCGTGCCCTATGTTGACATCCATCTCATCTGCCACGCGGAGGGCAAGGCTGACAGCCGTCTGCTTGTGTGTCTGTGTGCACACAACAACCCCATGGCGATACTGGAGAGAAAGGCAATATTCTGCACACCACTGGGGGATCTATAACACACAACAAAGAATCAGTTCTGATGTCTCACACTGGACAACATTGCTTTCTATTTGTCTTTTTAAAAAAAAGTTGATTAAATAGTCCCTCTCTTTCTTCTGTTTTGAGTGGCTTGAGATAGTTGATTCAAATAATTTTGAAGCAAAGTTCAGAACTATTTCAGCAGGAGCTCGATAAGGATTAATATGCCTTTGAGCGGGAGGGGAAAGGTTCATAGTACAATTCAACCATTAAGATTAAAACGTTTGTGAGCCCATGTAATTCAAAAGGAGACTCCCAAAAAGCTATATGGCAGCATTGAAATCAATAGTTCTGTTTGCTTTCCCGATTTCTCCCCTAAATGCATACCAAGTTATACAGACCAAAGAAGTCAATTTAAATTCTAGGTCTTTGCTAAACTCAGCTTACTCTTGGCTGGTGATGAAGCACTGCAATTGCACTAAATATCCTTGAGTTTGGGAAAGAAAAATTAGCCAGACTTCTGGTTTCTAATTGCCATTCAAAATCTCCTGATGGAAATTGTTTGGGGATAGTTTGAATCTTGGGTCAGGTTTTTTTCTACAAAAAATAAGATTTAATGTATGTTTTTTTCCCCCCATTTATTGCGAGCCAATATTAGTGCATCAGAGTTGGACACCAGCCTTTTGTTATCGGGTAATGTTGCTTTGTTCCTTACTGTTGGTTGAAATTCACTTGAACAGCAAACATTAGAGGGATTTTCAAATATTCATCAGAAATAGTTTTTTTTAAACTGTAGATTCAACTGGTGTGTAGATTCAACTGATGTGTCCTCTGTGTTAAATGACTAAGGGGTACACATAAATTGAATCCAAGTTTTGACACAATTACAAATTTTACATGGAGGAGTAAAGGGCTCAAAGTCAGTAGAAGGAAAGTAAATACAAGTAAATTAATTAATTTTCTGAGGGTTGGTGAATACAGGAAACAGATTGTTCAGAGAGACAGTGCAGGAGAGTGTGTTAGTGAATTCAAGGGGGAGCTGGATAGAATTTTGACAAAGGAAGTAATTGAAGAAAATAATTCCATGTTTTTTTTCCCCCAAAACATTGAGGCTGGCAGATGATTTCTCCTTGTCCTGCAGGTTCTTACATCAATCCTACATGCTACAATCTACACTTCAGTGAAAAAATATTCCACAAAACATACAGTCAATTCACTTTGCAGTACATTCTGTGAAGCGCTTTGAGACGTCTCAATGACGCGATAAGGTTTAACATCAAATACAAGGATTATTTATTATTAATAAGAAAACTGATCAATACTTATGTTTGATACAGCGCCTTTCACGTCAGGAGGATGTCTCAAAACGCTTCACAGGATACACTGTAAAGTGGAATTTTGTGCGTGACCACAGCAGCCAAATTATGCACATCAATGTCTCACAAACAGTTCACAAAGTGAATGAACAATTTTATTTGGGGGATTCTTAGCCAGGATGGACACTGAGTGAAATTCCCTGGTCTTTTCGAATAGGGTCACAAGATCTTTAATAGACACTGGAACCGATAGATGGGAACTCAGTTTAACGTCTCATCCAAAGGATAATGCCTCCAGCAACGTAGCACACCCCCAGCACTGCAATGGAATAACAGCATTGATTATATGACTTCCAAATCTTTCCATGGGGCTTGAACCCACTACCTTCTGACTCAGAGATGAGATTGCTATCAACTGGGTCAGGATGACTCTTAAAAGATCCTTTGATCGCTACACCATTCCAGATAACAGCATGGTGTCAAAATGCTATCAATTTCTCTATAGAATTCAATAGCTGCTCTGTGATTGAAAGACCCAGCGTTGAACTAGCTCTTTGTGTAGGAAAAGAGTGTACTGTAGCTTATAGCAATTAGATCCTGGAAGCATTGTTCTGTGTATCAAAATAACTGGATTCATTTCTATTAAAATACAGTCTCATTCCTGGAAGGGATAAAAGCACTTTTAAAAAAAAGATCTTTAATCCAATCAGTCCCTCACCTTCTAAGAGCAATGGATGTAACAATCTTCATCCAACAACTTACACTTATATAGTGCCCTTCACACAGAATAATGCCCCCAGAGTGTTTTGGTTACAATATTACTTTACAAACAACCGGGAAACAAAAAGGCGGCTGTTGTCAGCCAGAATTAACAGCTGGAGTTTGCCAAATCTGCCCACATTCAAAATGGTGACTACGAGGTAAGAGGAAAAGCCAAACAATGTAATACGAGTTCAGTTTAAGATAAATACTGTGTGTGTGTGTGTGTGTGTTTATCCATATATATATTGATGTCCCACTTTGTGAACTCTGCATTGGAGAATTCCATTTTTCATCATATATATTTATATATTTACACACACACACACATATACAGGAAACTGCCTATCTGCGACAGTTTGGTTCCCATCAAGAGTGTAATTAAAGGATCAATGCTATATTGAGAGGGTACCTATTACTAGTAACGCCATGAATTACTATTCCCTAATAAAAAGCTGAAAAGTCGAATTGAATGCAGAGTTCAAAAAGTGGGACATCAACAATACAGCATTAACAACTCTGTGCACTTGCGACCACCCCTTTTCAATCACTTGAAACAATCTCGTGTCCAAAACAAAAAAAAATACAACGTGTGAGAAATAATTCAACGTTGTTAGCGAAATTAAGTTCCCAACTAAAGCTCCCATTAAAATTGTTTCAGAGAAGAATTCCATCCAGCAATCTCCCTGCACACAGCATCCTCTATCCCAGTGCCATGCACAATTAATCCCAGGTTCACTTGTCACTCCCCCTTTACCTCTATAAAATGCTCGAATTACCTCTCTTATCAGGAACCAAAGAAATAGCTCATTGTTCTCAATGTTGGTCGAAACAACCAGGGTGAAAAGAGGTTATGTTTTCACAACCAGCTTCCAGAACACAGTAAATTTGGGTGATGCGAAAGGATAAAATGGGCCCATATTGCTCTCTGGACATCTACAGGTTTTATATTGGTGGTGTGCAGAGCGAGCAAGCTTTTCATTCCCCGAAATGTTCAGATCAACTTCACAGCCTCTGGGAAAAAAAATGGTACTAAACATTTAGCAGCAAGACAGCCGTTCAGAGTGAATGCGACTTTCTTTGAAATGAAAAGTTTCACTCGGTGGGACGTTGGAAAGATTGGTTTACAAAGAATGCAGTTGTGTTAAATTGAACTGAAACGAATCTTTGAGCAAAGTAGATTTGATAAGCCGCAATAAATGTAGCTTTGATCCAACTGTTGTCACTGCTTGTTCACAAAAAAGTTGTACCACCAGAACATGTATTGTTTTGCAGTCTTGGTATTGGGGTTTAGGCTCAGCAATAACACACACACACACACAGCTCTCTTCAGTATGGTGCACACAAAAAAATAGATCCACACACACACACACACATAGGTTTATTTTAGGGTTTAAGATTGCATTGTCCTCTTCTGCTGGATCAGCTGCTATCAGCTCCAGGATAAATAAGCCTCAACAAAACATTGGCGCCTTTTTCAAAGCATTGCCAGATCCCAATGCAAAAGAAAAAGAGAGAAAGAGAATAGAATCACTCCACAAATCCAGACACACAAATAAAAAAAAATCTCTGATTGTTAACACTTACCCCCCACCCCCACCCCATTAGATGTGATGGTATAAAAGCACCTTACCTGGCTGCTCTTCCCCATCCTGGAGTTCCCAGACAGGATAACAAAGTGATGGGTGGCTAAACTGGTCATGAAAGCCAACTTGGTCTCCCACACCGACAGCTGCTTCCTCTCTTGCAGGAGTTTGTAGTAACGAGAGGAATGGGGCAGCCCATCAAAGGCATTCAGCTCCAGGTCAGCATCGCAGCACAGCGACTGCTCATCCCCACTGTCTGAGCCCAACTCCTCAGGCAAAGGAGATCTGTCACAGAGAGCTTCTCCATCCTTGTCCTTCAGGTGCAATCCAACAGCATCCATAGCCACACAGAGAGAGAGAGAGAGAGAGACACACAGACACACAGAGAGACACAGACAGACAGAGAGAGACACAGACAGACAGAGAGAGACACACAGACAGAGAGACAGACAGACACACAGACAGAGAGAGAGAGACACACAGACAGACACAGACAGAGAGAGAGAGACACACAGACAGAGAGAGAGAGACACACACAGACAGAGAGACAGACACACAGACAGAGAGACAGACACACAGACAGAGAGACAGACACACAGACAGAGAGAGACAGAGAGACAGACACACAGACAGAGAGAGAGACAGACAGACAGAGAGGGAGAGACACACAGACAGAGAGACAGACACACAGACAGAGAGACAGACACACAGAGAGAGACAGACAGACAGAGAGGGAGAGACACACAGACAGAGAGACAGACACACAGACAGAGAGAAACAGACACACAGACAGAGAGAGAGACAGACAGACAGAGAGAGACAGACAGAGAGAGACAGACAGACAGAGAGACACACAGACAGAAAGGAACCAGTCAATGTGCTGCGGAAAGCGAGACACAGACTGCGGAGTTCGCAGAGCTCGAGTCCACTTGAGATGCTGATCAGTTTCGCTGTTGTCTTTGTTGTTCCCTTCGCTTCAAGAGTTGCAATTTCTCCACATCATCACTTCCTGACACAATTCATTCACACTTCACCTGTGTTGCATCACCACCACCATCTCTCTCTCTCTCTCTTCTTTTTAAGCCACACACACACACCCACACACACACACACCTGTTAAAGCAAAGCCAACCTTTAGTTGGAGCTCAGTTAGAAACTCAGTGCCTGTGGCAGAAGTTTTAGGCAAAACTGCACTATTCTTCTCCAAACCTCTCTCTCTCTCTTTGCCCCCCACCTTCTTTCTCCCTTCCCTCTTCCCTCTCTCTCTCCCACCCCCCCCCTCTCTCTCTCTCTCTTCCTCCCCCTTCTTTTTCTCTCTCTCTTCTCCTCCTCTCTGTCTCTCTTTCTCTCTCTCTCTCTCTCTCTTTCTCCAGTCTGAGCCCACGTGTTGGGTCATTGATTGACTCTGAATAGTGGGATCTAAAGGAGAGAGCATTAGAGGGAATAATACAGTCATGTGGCCGTTTAATCTCATTACAATACCAGACAGAAACTCCTGCTGGAAACTGCAGAGTGTGAAAGGGCTGATTTGGTCTCTGGGTTCACAACTCACTGCACAAAACACATCTGTCACAGGGTTGGCTCACCACACTGCTGAATAATGAGAATATCAATAATAATCCTTGCATTTGATATAATAATTTATCACGCCGTTGAGAGGTGTCGAAAGCCCTTCACCGAACGGATTGTGAAGTGGATCGACTGCGTGTCGTGAACGCCCGGCCTCGTGGTGGTTTTTTTTAACTGTTATCACATCGCATTCATTGTGTTTGTGTGTGGAGTCCAAACTCTGGACTGGGGGCTCCTTCCCTTGTTTTTGCACAAAGTAAACTTGGAGGAGAAAGTCACCATACGTCATTTTGATTCGTAGGCGAAAGAGGTGCACTAAGCCGTAGGGCAAGATTGTTTGAACATGATTTACAGAATAAAGGACGCATTTTTTAAGAAAACATCTACACGGTCTTAGTGTCTAGATTTAATTCACTAACTGTACAGAAGGACAGAGAAGGCAGCTATCTTTCTTATGCACAGTATCTTTAGTTCCCATCATCTGATCCTAAATAGAGACTCACCCGGCCACCACATCAAACCTAGCTTTCTCTTTCAAATACTGATCTATCTCCTATGGACTTTGAACATTTTTGTCTTTGTATCACTTACTCATGAAGACATAGTCTTTTTAGAGAGAACAAAATAATCTACAGGGCACAAAAAAACTGTTTGCATGGTAGGATTCGTTGAATGAATAACTGTAACTTACAATAAGTAGTTACTGATGTCTGGTTGTCTTTATGCCCACTGAGAACTATGCTTGAAGAACTGGCTGAACATGATTTTCACACAAAGTGGCATTTTGAACATCTAAGGACATCTAAGAAATAGAAAAGTTGCAATCTTTCGAGGTTCAGTAACAAGGAAAAGAAGAACCCTCAAATAATACAGTACTGGCACATATATGTACATGGATAACACAAATATACATTCACACACATAGAGCATAATTCAATGATAGCACATCTATATACAATAACACACATGTGTCATCACTTTGTTGTACTTAAAGATCAAGGTGAAATATGTTTAATTACAGAATTTTAATTGTAGAATTCAAATATAAAACTATTATTTGCTTTTTTTATTTCCTTTTACAACTAATACTATATCGAGAAGATGATAGATGTCTATCAGTAAATTATACAGGGAACATTGTCTGAATGGAAGTGATAATATAATAATAATATGTGATAATTGGAAGTGATAATAGGAAAAGAAACTCAAGCAGTTCAGATTTCGTAAACCTTTCATAAAAGGGTTTACTTTCTTAGAGAATATTGCCATGAGAGTCACTCAGAGATGCACTTTTTTTTAATATGACGGCAGATTAGAAAGTGGAAAATTTTCTCTATGCTCGTCAAGTGGATCAAACTAATGCTATGATACAGGACCCAGGTTAGGTGTACTTCAAACCACCTATTGGGGTGTGCCAGCTATCACTATTTGCACCATCATTGTTAAATTGTTCTACATATTGTCCACCTTTTCTGTCCTCGCTCAGTCAGCTGTGTCAAGCACACTGAGATGTTGTTATGACATGAAGGACACTATATACATGTAAAATATTATTGTTTTGTGTTCTTGCTGCAGAAATGGACAGTGTACATTTAACAACCGTGTATTGGTTGTACTGATGTAATAGCTATGCCTGTGGCACTTGCTCCAGACAGTGGAATGGCTAAAGGTTGTTTGTACTGTACCGTTACATAAGTCACAACCCATGTGCATCAGCCCATAAGTAAGCGCATTTATGAGTGGGTATATGAGCTGCTAATGAGTGGTCCAGTGTGGTCCCAGTCAGTCAGAGTATCTCACTGTGGAACCATCGTCTCTTGGTGGGAGGGAGAAGAACAAGGTGGGTTGCAGAATGTGAAACATATTTTCCAAACAGCAAGTGTCTTATGTTTAAGTATTCTGAAATTAGGACAAGGTTATCCCACAAAACAGATGGAGGTAAATAACAAGGAAAATAAAGTACAAAATAAATAACCAAAGACGAAGGAGAGTCTGAAGGGAAAAACTTTGAACAGAAAGTATTTCTCCCTGACTTTCCTATTAAAAAATCCTTGTCAACAAAAGAGCTAGCACAAAATTTTCATTGATCATACCTGCTAAATTTTACATATAATAACATATGACAGCCCTTGTCTTTGTGTGGATAAGCATTATTTGAAAAGTTGACTGTTCCCCCAACTGTGACCTGCCCTGAATATTGTGTTACAGTTTGTCTGCAATGCTGAATTAGACTTAGCGTCTGACATTCACTGGAAAATGTTGTTGTAAGAGATGCCAACTGCTTATTATTTATTGATCCGCTCCTCGTAGTTCAGTGTATTTATAAATAGAAAGAAGATCCCAAGTTCAGTCAACACATCCACATTTGCATAGCTTTATGAATCAGACAGCACTTAATATCAAATGTGTTTCAGCGCTTAATATCATATAGATTTACATACACTGTTGCCAGCCTACATGGTAGGCTTAGTAAACCTTTGAGAGCATGTATTTTGAAAACTGCTCAAATTTACAGCTTGTCCTCAAACCTCTCATATCAATTTCCTGCTACGGTCTACATAGTTGTTGAATTTTGAATCAACCTTCCTAACTTTTCTTCTAATTTCCCCCCTTTTCTTTCCACCTCGTCACTGACAGTGATTGTCAGCAGGGGTTATTAAACCGGAGAGAGGTATCAAAGCTAAAATCTTTTAGGGATGTCCAATACATCTACTTTCCAGTGAGTGTCAAGTGCATTAACTCTTCACTGGTATTATTTTCCCTTCTGTAACCTAGGGTAGTGAGGCTTATTGTAGCAAAACCAATAAGTATGCTCCAGCTGAGGTCATCTAACTCAACATGGTGCAGGATTGATCTTGGAACAATCTGCTGACCTATCCCGAATGCATACCAGCTCTGCTTTTTAATTAGAGATCTTGATATCCTGCTTTCAGTGGCTGTTTGCCAACAATAGCTACACTAAGGGCAGTAACATAATCAAAGGCTCACAACATCTGTACATGTTACTTGAACCGTGAGATTATGCTGCTGCGTTGAGGTGCCTCTGATACCTGTGAGCATGTATTAAATGTTAAGCTTTTTGCTGCAAGAAAATTCATCATGTTGATTTGCTTGCATTTTCCAATGTTCTTCCTTGCAAAGAAACACTGAGGATTTTTTAAAATTGTCTTTCAAAGATTGATTTATTTCCATTGGCAATTTGAAATCTATATTATATATATACTTGGTTTAAATGTCTCTTCTTCCATCTCACGTACCATTTGTTTTGAGAGAATAGGTAGGGAAGTGTGTTCTTTATGCTCTTCCAATGACCTTTTTCAGGCTGTCAGTGAATACAAAAAAGTATTCTGGATGACTCACCTTGCATTTCAGCTCCAATGGCACAGCTGGCTAACTGTATTCTTCCATTCAGTAGCACAGCACCAACACATGCTTTTTATAAAGGTTTAACTGCATGAACCACATAGGTGACTCTGATACCTGAGTGTCTGAAGAAAGACGCACGGTATCTTACTTTCGTAAGTAACTGGAGGTGATAGCTGCAGATTGTGTTGCAGGCAGAGAATTCCTTGCTTTCATTTGCATTTAGTAATGAGTCAAAACTGTACCATGCAGCTTCAGACATTCTCCTACACTTGGGTCCCATTCCAAACACATATGGACCCTCATTGTTTTGTTTAAATATATTGCTGATATTTTATTCTCGAAGAGCTTAAATAGCAAACTCTTTCAGTGCAGTCAGTCTATGTAATTCTGTGTAATTTCTAATGCCACATTT